CCAATATCTTAAAGGTACTGTGCTAGACAAAGGGCTAGTCATAAACACAAGTAGGTTCTTGAGCAACCTTTGCCCTTGAGGAACTCTCAAGAGAGAGGTGAGACTGACACATGAGTAAACAGGTGCATCACCTTCAGAAATACCCAACTGTGGGTATGTACAGGTATTATCAGCACTGAGAAGCAAGGAGCAGCTACTCCCTGCCAAAATCAGAGGAAGTGCCTCAGTGGGATAACACCTGATGGCATCTTGTGTGATGATCTCAAGTCCCAGCCAGAGAAGACTGCAAGAGAGAAGGAGCCCAAGGACAGGAGCAGTGAAGGAGGAACATAATATATCCAAAATAGGTGAATTTAGCAATGGAGAAGCAGGGCAAACTAGTATTTTGTGAATTATGAGTGCTGAGATCAAAAGGTAAATTAGTGAATAAAAGAAGTACTATATATCATGCTGAAGGATTTAGATATTAACCCAAAAGCCAGGGTTTCCAAAACAACTCAGTTCCACAACATGTGTTATATCCAAGGTCTATCTCTGCTATTTTTGCTTTACCTGTAAACCACTTATACTATTATCTATTTGCTTTTCTAAAACACTGATTTTAATTTTTTACTTAAATTTTTTTTAGATATACATGACAGTAGAGTATATTTTGACATACATACACTAACGGGGTATAATTTATTCTAATTAGTATCCAATTTTTATGTAAAACTCAGCTTTTAAACATTTGTTTTTAAAAGAAACTTTGTCATTACTGTAAACAGATGTTTACAGTAAACCAGTGTTACTTGCAGTCAATTCAAGATCCTCATTAAAGTCAACATGATGAATATAAAACATTCCTATTAATTCTTTGTTTATGAAAGCCTCTCAGTCTGAGGTGTGCGATCTCGTTTTCTAAAGGGAGATTTTAGGTTTTGAGAGAAATTAAATTTCTTCTAGAACTAAACTGAGACTCCTTAAAAGAATTAGAAAGAAGAAAAAGGATTGAGAGGGGGGACAGCACTCTTATTCTGCATGCCAGGGGTATTTAGCAAGTTTGCTGTGTACCATCTTAGACACTGAAGGGAAATTCTTCCCACATGTGGGGAAGTGGTGTTTTAGGAAGAACAGGCCACCTGAGGTGTGTTTTGTTGTTGTTTTGCTGTTTCTGAGTGACAAAAACAAACTTATCTGAATCAGGAATAACTCAGGTCTGGAAAGGGAGACAAATGGAAGCAGAGAAAACATTGTGGAGGCTGTGGGCAAGGGTCCCACTCTGGCCCACTCAAGACAGTGAGGATGAAGAGGGTCCAGATTTAAGAAGGATTTAAAATAAAGCCAAAAGATAGTTCCTGAGGGATGTGGGGCAGGGGTCATGGAAACAGAATCATCAACAATGCCTTGGAGATGGATTGCTTGAGAGACTGCATAAATGGTCTTGGGATTATCCAAGCCAGGATCAAGAGGAATATGTTTGGGGAGAGAAAGGGGTGTGTGTGTGTGTGTGTGTGTGTGTGTGTGTGTGTAGAAAGGAGACAAAGGTGCAGATAGATAAGATCCCAGGTTGAAACATGCTGCCTGTTACAAATTCTCACGTATCTCAAGGCTGCATTAATCCTGGCTAAAAAAAAAAAGCGGGGGAAAGAAAAGAAAAAATGGATGTAAGGGGTTAGCAAGCAACTCCAAAAGTTGAACTAAGAGTCATTCCAAATGTCAGCCAGAGAGAAAAGATATTTTGGCCTATAAATCAGCATCAAATACACACATTCATTTACTTATTTTTGAAAACTTGTGATATAATCAGGTAGACAGGTCTAAGGCATATTAAGCATGTTTACTTTTATAAGATGTTAAAAAAAAATGAACCCATCCAACCAAAAAGTCTTAGAAACCTACTTAGGTAAAGCAGTTTTCTGGGTGCTTGGAGAGAGAGAGAGAGATAAATTAGACACAGATCCTCTTTTCATGGAGCTTGTAAAGATCTAAGATAGATAAAGTGTTCAGGGATTTATATTTTGTTTGCACGTAAAGAATTTCTTCATGATATCCAGAAAGTATATTTAGCCCCAGAAATTTTCCCAGTGACCATAGTTATTCTGAACTTTGTTTCCGTAGATGATAAGAAACATAGCATTGGAGTGTAACAACAGTAATGTGAAATTTTTGGTAGATCTAAAGATTTGGAAGTGAAAATCTTACTAGTCATTAATGGCCCTTTTTCTTTTGTTGTAAAGTACCTATTTGTCTAGTTTAGGAGAAATAAACTAATTGAATGTTATCTTTTGCATATAGCATAGCATTGCCTTTTCTTCTCATCCAAGTATATGATATAGCAATATATTAGAGCATTCTCATGAAAACCCATGAAATAATCCATTTTTTAGGACTGGGACTTTTTCTTGGCAGTCCAGATATAGACTAGAAAGCACAGATTTCACCCTGAGCCTAAAAAAGATTCATAAGTTTGAATAAGGGGAAGGACAACAAGCCTAAATGTTGATGCTCCTTCTTTAGTTTCTAGACCCTTCTGTGGAAAGAAGTGTTTTCATAAGACTCAGACAGAATTCATTTCCATAGAGCGTTCTTAATGGCTCCTGTCAGAACAAAACAGCTGGGAAACATATGGTATCCATTTCCCTGTGTCACTTGGAAAAAATTTCACATGTAAATAAAGCCAACATAAAAGAGTAGCCCTTTGAACCCATGACCTGTTATAATATATAAATACATCAGTACAATGCACTAGTTGTATTGACCCACTAAGACAAGTACTTTAAATTTTTTAATACATTCTGAGATGCACATTTTTTAGAAGTTCCAAGAAAATTAAGGCAAATATTATCAAATACTATACCATAATAAGTATGTATCTCATAAATGTCTATGGATATTTATTTTTCCCAATAAAACATTTTTAGAAAGCAATAGAATAAAATCAAAGGCATATTTACACCTTATAAACTCTGTGTACACTATCTGCTGTTTTATATAAGTAACCATGTGTTCTCAAGGAAGAGAGAGAAAGGCTTGGCAAAAATTTCTGGCAGACGTTAATTTTTCATAGCTTCACATTTTTTAGAGAGAAAAGGATATATAAATGACAGAAAACTTTTAAATTTATAAGGGACCAACTGGAATTAGTCTTTGCCTTTGCATATTTACATTTCATAAATAACTTTAGAAAATCTAGCTCTTATTGGTGATTATCACTCCTCTGAGTTTATTAACAGGACTTTTGTCCCCTGTGAAATTAAACTGTAAATCCCTCAGAAGGATGCACTTTTGTGCATTTTAAAAGATTTAATGTGTTGTGCAAAGTGAGATTCAAATTCACATACTTGCATTTGTTAATTGTCTGCTCTGGGGCAAGCACTGTGTACGACTAAGAACTGGAGCCAAGAAAGGAGAAGAGAAGCAGCAGTCTGAGGCCATCTTGATACCTTCCTTCCCTTCTGCAAATTCTGTTACATGTTACTTATTGGAGAGAGACCAGCCCTTCTTCACAGCTGGTAGTATTTTCTTCTTAGGTTCTACAATGCCAGAGCCAAAAAGGCTCCAGGGGTGGACCACATAGTGAAGACCTTCTGAAATTGCACGCCGTATTGTGGTCCATTTGGGGAATAGAACTAACTCACAGTTATATAGCATTCAGATTAAAACACTCTTTCTCATATCTTTGCTTGGTTCCAGAACTTCTCTGAATCCTTTTGGAACACATTCTGGCAGAAAGAATGATTAGTAACCTAAATTTAGGGAACTTCAATAATGAACGCATTCACCCCAAGAATCAGGACTAGCCAGGGCTCATTGCTGTTGTTAATAGAGCTAAACACACATACCTGTTTCAGGGTCTTTCATTATTTGTTTGTGCTTTAAGCAAAGGACACACATGTATGCTTGCTTTAGGGTTGAACCCTTCCCACCTGTTGTCATTCCAAAGAAAAGAGATACATGAGAGGTTTCTAATTGGGCATGTCCTGAAATCTCATCTCTTTGATGGAGAATGCTGTAAACTAAGTGGCAGGAGAAACCTATCAATAGAAACCTATAAATGAGTGTCCTGTAAGCTTCCAAGGGTGCTATGCCTGTCATCTACCAGAGATGAAGCAACACCATCGTGGCTGAGGATACTGTTGCTGCTTCATCTGCCTGCCCCAGTGAGGAGGTGCTGAGTGATCTTGCATTGAGGCTAAGTAGGAAAGGTAGTGATTCTTATCTTTCACCTCTAAATGTATCTGTTTCACTTTCTATTCCATCTCAACCAGACATTTAGTTAAATGTAAACCAACAGAAAATCTTTATCTAACTTTGCATAGAAAAAATTAGTCTTCCTACCCAATCTTCCCTTTACAACTTACTCTTCCTTTTGTTCATGTTCAGCTTTCCTAAGAATAGAGGGCAGTGTTAAATCTTGAAGAGCATGCTCTGTTGTGAGGTGTTCGTGTATGACATTGCTGTGTCAAATGCCAGAAGCACCATGAGATGCCCTTGCATGAAAGGGGACTTAGGATACTTAGCTTAGGGTGAGGTTAATTCAACCATGGTTTATGTCCCATGGTCCATTCAACTCCTGACCACTTCATTCCTTTTTGTTCTTTCCTTAACCACCTAATAGAAAACTAATGAGTCACCCAGCCAGTAAATCACATTTGAGTTTGTGCAATGTTAAGTAATTTACCCTTTCTTTATATGGGACTTCTTAAATGTTAGAGAGGAGTGTGTGTGTGCATGTATGTGAATGTATCCCTTTTTCCTCCCTAACTTCATTTGAAAGTTCATTTAACACAGAGGATCCCATCTTCTAATTCTGTTGGTCAACATGTTTCATCTTTCACTGTTTTCAATAGTAAGTATAAATTATTCCTTTTAAGGACATATGTCCTCTTGAAGTCATCTCCTTAACACAGGGGCTTAATTATGAGCATAACTTGAGTGGACCACATCTGCCTGCATGGTCAAGATGTGTGCAGCATTCCAATGTAATAGTCTTCTCTTTTAATTTTTTTTCAAAACAGTTTCTAGCTCTAGCTGGAATTGTGGAGTCTCAACTCTTATTACAAACGCACAAAAGCCCACAGGAATTGCTGAGGTATACAGTAAATTTCGCCCAGTGAAGCGAGTTTCCCCACTCAAACATCAGCCAGAGACTCTAGAGAACAATGAAAGTGATGACCAAAAGAACCATAAAGTGGAGTACCCCAAGGTGGGTGAGTCTGACCAGGGCCCCCCACCTGAGGAGCTTGGCCCTGAAGATGGAGTGGGAGGCTTGCCCAGTAAGAGCTCTGAGTCCAGCACTGCACTGGGCGAACTGGAACATTACGACCTCGACATGGATGAGATTCTGGATGTGCCTTACATTAAATCCAGTCAACAGCTTGCCTCTTTTACCAAGGTGACTTCAGAAAAAAGAATTTTGGGTTTATGCACAACCATCAATGGCCTTTCTGGCAAAGCCTCCTCTACAGGAAGCACTGAGAACTCACCATCCAGTACGACCCCATTCTGTGTTCTTTCTCCTGTGAAAAGCCCTCACTTGAGAAAAGCATCAACTGTCCTCCGCGACCAGCACAAGCTCTCCACTGAAGAGTCTGAGAGCTCACCTCCTCTGGTTACATGTGGCTCTGCATATGAGCCAGAAATCCAGAATAAAGACTTCTTAAACAAGGCCTTTAGTGACCTGCATAGCCGAAAGATTGAGAAGACAATGCCGGACTGTCAGCTCCGGGGCTTCCACCTGCAATCTGCAGAAACAGAATCCAAACTGGAAGAGCCGGTCAAGGGCATGAGCTGGACCAGCTCCCAAGGCCCAGAAGAAAGGAGTGAGTATCTGAAAAAAGTAAAAAGCATCTTGAACATCGTGAAAGAAGGACAAATATCTCTCTTGGTAAGTATCTCTCCTTGGTATACACAAATCTAGAGAGCTGTTGTTATCAGCTCCATTCTTAACAATGATGTTATGTGCATTTTGCATCTTGTTTAATGTTTTCTTGTGTCTTTGGTTGGGGAGTGTGACCTCTTGAGTTTTAAAATAAAAAGTTAGGAGGTTAATACAGGGAAAACAAATTGATATAGAAGGAGTGTTATTTCACTTTAACTTTTAAAATTCAACTGGAATAAAGAGATTTAACCTAAAACAAAGAGAGCCCAGCACTTTTTTTCACTTGAATCTTGAAGTCTTTCTTTTTGCTTTTCAAATGGTTCCCAATGCTCTCGCTCAGTTATTTGTAGGGATGTCAGTTCCTTGTCGATGACAGGCCTGCCAAATATGTGAACAGAGAGTTTTCTGTTTTATCCTGATCATTATTCAGGAGAGTTGGGCCAGGATGTTTGCAAAGTATTTGCAGATAGAAGCTTACCCTAGAGCTTGATTGCCCTCTGACCCACATATAGTTTTTACTTAGTTCCAGCTCTGCATGTCTAGGGAGCTTGAAGGAGTGTTTCCAAAGACTCAAGACACAGAGTAACATGATGTAAGAAAAGTCTGTTCTGCTTCAGCTCAGAGCTCAACTCAAATAGCACTCCATCTGCCTGCATTGTTCTTTTCTGGCTTCCAGGCATGGATCAAACAGTAGCAAGCCTGGGCTCCTACTACAATGCTGATTAAAGCCTCATTCAAGAAAATCACTGCTTCTTGGACATGTATTTCTACTTAGTGTGAAGCCATACGTAGATAAAATATAATGTGCTTGGTCTATTATCACAAACATTGTTGCCATAGACAATATAATTGGATAGTTTAATCAAATAAAGTGGTAATTTTTTTTCTCCTGAAAATATATTTTCCATTTCTCCTGGTTCCTTCCTCTTATTCTCGTTGGTTTATTCCCTTCCTTTGATCTTACCATGTTTTCATATTTCCCAATTGCGAACACCACTTAGTTCCCCAACAATCTCTATATCAACCGTCTCATATTCAGGGAACTCAGTTTCACTAGAGGTGAGAAAACGAAAGTCTAAGTACCCTCCAGATGACCCCACGAGCAATAAGGAGGTGACAGTATCTGGAGGTGCCCACTAAACACTAGTAGATGCAGACATCATGTAGTTTGTAGTCAAAACCAGTTCTCCACAATTCAGACAGGTAGAAACCAGTAGTCTCTTTATTCATTCAGTGGATCTACAGCGGGGAATAAAACAGCCCCAGCTCAAGGACCTAGCAGTCAAGAGGGAAAGACATGTAGGGACCCTCCCAGTTACCATAAATGTCACTGCATTTTAGAAAGCCAAATTGAAGCCTCCACAGCCCACTGACCCCAGCCCTGTTGTCACGTCTCACGTGAAGACCCATCTCTTAAGAATTCACATTCTGAGGCATATTATCCCAAGGAGTAATGGCAAGGAACTCTGACTTTCTCATCCCTACATTGCCATTAGGGCTTCATTAAGCTTATTACTTCTTCCCAGAGCCCAGAGCAAAACCCCCACAGACTCTTATTCTGATGTGTTGACTTATTTTCTAATCCTACTGTTTGTACAGCCACATCTAGCTGCAGACAATCTAGACAAAATTCATGATGAAAATGGAAACAACCTGTTACACATCGCTGCATCGCAGGGACACGCAGAATGTCTCCAGCACCTCACTTCTTTGATGGGGGAAGATTGCCTCAATGAGCGGAATACCGAGAAATTGACACCAGCAGGCCTGGCCATCAAGGTGACTGGTTGGGGGCTTGGCTCTCCTCAGCTAAAGTCAGTTTTCTGTGTTTTCAGATTCCGTGAAGCTAAAGTATTAGACGGGAGGGAGAGGAGAGTGATTTATCAAGCAAACATCAATGAACGCATCACATGTCAGAGATTACCCATTTCCATCACTAGCTGCTTTGAGATTTGTTCCAATTTGTTGTCCAATAAGTTAAGCTTCAAATCAGACAATAGAGAAGAAAATGATCCATTGCAGTGCTAAGGACTTGTGTAATTCATGGTGACTGCAATTTAAATTCTTCACCATACCTGGCTCTATCAGACACTGTGTCATTTTTTCCTAACGTGAGAATAATGAGCAAGACAAATGAGGAAAAGGTGTGTTTTCAGGGATGATAGCACTCAGGAGTATTTCAGATAATAAAATAGACTTTTAATGGATCAGATCCGAAGTTTAAATGTCTTCAGGTATCAAGAGTTGTTTAGAATATCAGTGTGGCTTTTGCATTTAGTTTTTGCATAGCACAATATGCTGTCAAAAACTACACAAATTAATGCCAACTAGGATGGAGTTAAAACTTACAAACCACAATACAAGAAAACATGGACTTTTATAGTACTGCAGTGAGTGCTCTGTAAAATATAACAGATCATGAGAAGGTTAGCTATTAAACTAAAGTTACTTTTAAGATCTTTGGCAAATAAATGTAGAATTCAGTCACATTTATTAAAAAGCCAGAAGTGAAGTTCAAGGAAATATAATACATCTTGCACTTCTGCATATGTACTTTGCTTTCATAATAGTTGTGTCTTCTAAAAGTCAAATAATCACATTTTTTACAAATGGAATTATATTGATATTGACTAGGGGAACTTGCTAGTTAAAATAACCTACTTGTGAATTCATTATGAAACATGTTACATTTGAACAACAAATAATCGTCCTACCTCTGATATATCTTTTATGCAAAGTTGAATTTTTATATCTTTAACTTGTTTATCATTCAGTAAAGTTTTATATATTTGCAAATGTGTTCAATTTTATTTATTTTTGCTCAGGGGTGAATAATGACTTCAAAAACAGTATAAAAAATAATTTTAATAAAATAAGAAACCTATGACCATAGTGGGTATAATTTTCCTTTGGCTGTGAACAATGCTATGTCAACTCAAGCAACTCAACTACAACAGCCACCATAAAGAGATGAAAATTAAATGTGAAGTCAGGGTTTGGTCTAGTTGAGTTTATCAGAATGTACCCCATCTATCTAGTATCTCCAGTTAGACACTGGAGATACATATTTAAATAAGGCATACTCTTGTTCTTATAGAGCTGGTAACCTGGTAGATAAGACAGGTGTGTCATCAGTAACACCAGTGCAAGTTGGCAAATTTGAAATTTAGTCCTGTGACAAAGTTCTGTAAGAAAACAGGGGTTACATGTGATCATCAATGGGCATGTGTCAATGACAAATAAAATATTTTTGGAATCCCAGTGAATGTTGACATTTGCCTTGCTGCTTTATTGTTTATAAAAATGTAATTTTCATAACTAATGGTATATTGTAGTTGGACAAAAGCCCATGTTTTTCTTAGTTTATGCACCCTCATGCTTGTTTTGATGGATTTAAAATCTCTGTGAAGAAAGATACATAGGAAACTTAATGGTTAAAAAAAGCCAATCTTCAGCATAAATACCTCCTGTTGTATACATGTTTGAGTGTTCTTTCATACCCAAGCTCCTGTAGTCAACAAAGTATTGTTATCATATAAGATATATAAGATATATAAGATATGCATATATCATAAGCAGTCTGCAAAGTTAAACAACAATGTTTTTGTTTTTATTTGAATAAAAGACAAATATCCAATTCATAAGACCCAAAAGCTGTTACTGATTTGGTGTCACAGGTTTCTCATTTTTACTTCTGGACAATGATTGTAGAAGTGGATGTGCTCTTCCACTCCATTACTTAATCTAGAATTTGTAAAAGCAGTAAGAACAAATATTTCATAATAAGTGTCACCACCACCCCCTTTAGAAATCAGTCCTGATGTATGTCCTGCCTCTCTCCATTCAGTGCATTTTGATAGACACTGATGAAGTTGAGAGAGCCCTGAGGGTCATCATTCTTCCATTTGGGGGCCTTATTTTGAACACCAGTACCCAGGTGTTTCACCTCATTACACACAGGGTCTCAGAGCCCTGATGTCATTAAAGACAAACACACTTGGTACAAACAGGCTGAAGTTTCTTGGATAGTATGACTTAGCTGACAGGGAGCAAAGTCAGAGATAAGGTATTATGTGAAAAGATTACCTGAGAAAGGGGGTTTTAAAGTCATATCAGAACTTAAAAACATCTCTCCCCCACTCTTAAATTCCTTCAAGGAAACATAATATATTATGCCAGTCACATGCAGAATTTATTGAGTGCTTTTTGAAAGACCCAACAGTAGATATTTTGAGAGTTCAGGACATTATTGGTATCCTCTGGAGATGGTTAAGAAAAGAAATGGAGAAGGATTTCTAAAATGTCTAATACTAAAGCAATCTTGTTTTCTAAAATGGAACTAATAAGAAATTATTTTAGTAGCTAAAAAGACCTGGAATAAAATGACCTTAATTGCCTAGTTATTCTTCTCTTCAGTCATTCTGATTAAGCCCAAAAGCACAGTGTTGGTCTGGTGATAAGATGACTTCAAACACATAACCTTACTGACTTCTTTTTAACACACTGAGCAACCCCAGACCCAGAGAATTTGATAGGCAAAAATTTCTTGCTAGAATTAGATCATGTTTTGGTTCATTTGTTTCTTTTCTTGGTATTTATATTTATTGCAAGTGATACTAGTTTCAAACTCATAGTAGTGATATAATAATTTCTTCTGCCTTCTTAGCAGTGTTTTATTTATTTTAAATGTTGATTCATTGAAAAATTAGACCTAATAATCATCTAAAAGAACATTCTACCCAATGACAACAGAGTACGCATTCTTGTCAAGTGTACATGGAATTTTTCTAAGATAAATCCTATGTTAAGATAAAAAACAAATTTCAGTAAATTTTTAAGTATTGAAATACAAAGTTGTGCTCTCCAATCACTGTAGAATCTAATTAGAAATCAATAACCAAGGGAAATCTGGGATATCCGTAAGTGTAAAGAATTAATATACTCTAAAATAATTAATAGGTCAGAGAAGTAACCATAAAGGAAATTAGAAACTATATAAAATGAAAATACAACACTTAAAGGATGCAGCTAAAGCTGTATTTAAAGGGAATTTGTAAAAGATGCAGGAAAGGGAAAGAGATCTCAAAGCAATAGCCTAATCATATACCTTGGGAAATTAGAAAAAGTAGAGCAAACTTAATACAAAGCAAGCAGAAGAAAGGAAATAATAAAAATTAGAGTGGAAACAAATGTGAGCAGAGAGAGAGAGAGAAAGAAATTACTAAAACTTTGCCTCATATTTCTGTGTGCTGTATAAATACCAATTTATTTGAACCATTTTTCTTGGATCTAATGAATAGAATTCCTATCCCTTTCTTTATTCAAAGGGAATGAAACAAAATATATAGTAGGTTTGTTTGTCTGCTTCTTATAGAAACATTGGACATACTCAAATTTAAAGGAAGTCTGTAATGACGGGATTATTATACGCCAAATTGTGGGTGGAGTGAATGAAGGGAGTCTATTGGAAAGTGCAGTCTCCTGGGGTCAGCAACAGTCAGAGCACACTTACCACCCTAAAGCCTGGAGGGGCTGGGGAAGGAATGGTTGCAAGAACCTTAACTAGAGAGACTGATCAGAAAGGACTGGCCAGCTTTTGATCTTGGATGCATCAAAGTAATCCTAGTACTGTCAGTTAATCCATTAGTAGGAGGGAGGACTCATCTGGCCAGTTGGAAACCCTCTAGATGGAAGCCAGGAGCAGAGGATAGCTGAAACTTACTCTGCTTTCCTGATCTCCATCAGCCAAACCCAACCTCCCAGAGCAAGATGGAGCACAGAGAAGGACATCTAATCATGCAAATACAGGCATGTGTCACTTAATGATAAAGATATGGTCTGAGAAGTGAGTTGTTAGGCAATCTTGTGCTTGTACAAACATCACAGAGGGCATAGGTCAAAGTGGCCTTCTTATGGAATCAAGATATGGTGTTTTGATAGTAAACTCTATTTTTAGTAAGTAGAAGGAGTACACTCTAAGGATGAAAGTATAATAATACATAAACCAGTAACAGTTGTTTATTGTTATTATCAAGTATATAATGCACATAATTGTAGGTGCTATATTTTTCAGCTCCATTGTAATTTTAGGGGACCACAGTAGTATATACAAGTTGACAGACGCATCATAATGTAGCACATGACTATATCTCAAAAAGAGGGCACTGAATTTGCATGCAAATAGATGGGAAATGCTGACTGAAATTCTATTATCCAAATAAGGAAGGATAAAGAATGAGCAGATCACCTCTTCTATCTAGCTTTTAGAATAGAGTTTTTCACCTTGAGAAAATAAGTATTAGGATTCTAAAATAAAAAGACAATAATCCTATTATACTAACATAAATGCTACCCTCTTTGAATCCTTCCCTGGCTCTATGCCCACATTAACTCCTTTTCTGTGTTCCATGCTGTGCAAACTAGGAAGCTGATTAAATGTCTCATTTGTCTGCAGAGTTACCATCAGAGTCCAAGGAAGCGTTCTAATAGTAGAAGGTAAAAGTTTTCTGTGCTTAGGAAGCCTGCATGCTTTATCTCATTTAATCCTCACAGTGATGTTAGGGAGGTAGTTACTATTAACCCTCTTTCACAGATGAATCCATTGCTTATTACAGAGATAAAGTAACTTGCCCAACATCTTGTAACTAAGTGACAGGCTAGGGATTTAAATCCAACCCAGAGTCTGTGTGGGTCTTAATCATTAGAATATGCCTATCATACTATAAGTAGTCCTGAAAATCCTCAACAAATATATGTGGACTACATTTTTTCCACATTTTTATTGATACATTATAATTCCACATAATAGCAGGAGTCATTGTTACATAGTCATACATGCACAGAATATAAAAACCTAATTGGTCAATGTCATTCCAGAATATTGCCCCTTTCCCTTCCCTCCTCCCTCCTTCTAGTCCCTTTCATCTACTCCATTTTTCACCCTTTGATTTTCATGAGATCCCACAACCATTCTTATTCTTTTTCCTCTATATGAACTGTGTTGTAATTGTTTAAATGTTTTGTTAATTTTCTGAAATTCTCACAGTACCTGAGAGTAAAACCCAATAATGGTTTCAAGATAGGAGAGAAATGTAAATTCTAAAAAATGATGAGAATAATATCTGGCTTCATAAAACCTCTTATAAAGACTCCAAGAAAATTACATTCTTTTTTTTTTTTTTACCTACTTCTACTTTCCTGTTCTTCTTGATCCTAAGAATCATTTTGTTTTCCTAAAAAATGTGCCAAGTTGTGGCTGTTTGACCTTGTGTGTTGGTAGTTTTATCATTTACCAATGAAAAACTGATTCTTTTATAAGAGTATTTTCCTTTTTAAAATTTTAACATTTGACCAATTAAGATATTTACCTGGTATATGTGTGTGTGTGTGTGTGTGTGTGTGTGTGTGTGTGTTTTGATAGTAAACTCTATTTTTAGTAAGTAGAAGGAGTACACTCTAAAGATGAAAGTATAATAATACATAAACCATTAACAGTTACTTATTGTTATTATCAAATATATAATGCACATAATTGTAGGTGCTATACTTTTTCAGATCCTTTGTAATTTAATTTGTCCTTTTTAATTTAATTTGTTCTTATTAGTTATACATGATAGTAGAATGAATTTTGACATATTATACATATATGGAATGTAACTTATCTTCTGGTTATACATGATGTAGGATTACATTGGTCATATAATCATATATATATATATATATATATATATATATATATATAAAATAGTAATGTCTGATTCATTCTACTATCTTTCCTATTTCCATTCCTCTTCCCTTCCCTTCATTCCCTTTTGTCTAATCCAAAAATACTTCTGTTCTTCCCCAATTCACCCCTTATTGTGAGCTAGCATCCACAAATCAGAGAAAACATTCAGCCTTTGTTTTTTGGGGGGGTGGGGGAGGTTGGCTTATTTCACTTAGCATAATATTCTCCAGTTGCATCCATTTACTGGAAAATGATATAATTTTATTCTTTTTATGTTTAAGTAATATTCCATGTGTATACATTTTCTTTATCCATTCATCTGTTGAATGGCAGTTGGGTTGGTTCCATACTTTAACCATTGTGAATTGAACTATTAACATTGATGTGGCTGTGTCACTGTAGTATGCTGATTTTAAGTCCTTTGGGTATTAACTGAGGAGGGGGATAACTGGTTCAAATGGTGGTTCCATTCCAAATTTTCTAAGGAAAACTGCTTTCCATAGTGGTTGCACCAATTTGCAGTCCCCACCAGCAATGTTTGAGTGTACCTTTTTTCCACACATTCAGCCAACATTTATTGTAGCTTGTATTCTTTTTTTTATATTTATTCTAATTTGTTATACATGATGGCAGAATGCAATTCATTTCATATTACACATATAGAGCACAAATTTTCAATTCACTGATTGTACACAAAGTATTTTCACACCATTTCTGTCTTCCTACATGTCTAACTTATTCCACCATCATTTCTACCCCCTTGCCCAGTCCCTTCCCTTCCATCCTCTTTGCCCTATCTAAAGTTCCTCCATTCCTCCCATGCTGCACCTCCATTGCCATTATGAGTCAGCATCGTCATATCCGAGAAAACATTCCGCCTTTGGTTTTGTGGGATTGGCTAACTTCACTTAGCATTATATTCTCTAGCTCTATCCATTTACCTGCAAATGCCATGATTTTATTTTCTTTTAATGCTGAGAAATGTTCCATTGTGTATATGTACCAAAGTTTCCCTATCCATTCATCTACTGAAGGGCATCTGGGTTGGTTCCACAGTTAGCTATTGTGAATTGTGCTGCTATAAACATTGATATGGCTGTGTCCCTATAGTATGCAGTTTTTCAGTCCTTTGGTTATAAACTAAGGAATGGGATGGCTAGGTCAAATGGTGGTTCCATTACCAATTTTCTAAGGAATCTCCATATTGCTTTCCATATTGGCTGCACCAATTTGCAGTCCCACCAGCAATGTATGAATGTGCCTTTTTCCCCACATCCTTGCCAATTATTGTTGCTTATATTCTTGATAATTGCCATTCTGACTGAAGTGAGATGAAATCTCAGTATAGTTTTAATTTGCATTCTCTAACTGCTAGAGTTGAACAATTTTTATATATTTGTTGACTATTCATATTTCTTCTGTGAAGTGTCTGTTCAGTTTATTTGCCCATTTATTGATTGAGTTTTTTTGTTTTTTTGGTGTTAAGATTTTTGAGTTCTTTATATATTCTGGAGATTAGTGCTCTATTTGAGGTGCAGGTGGCAAAGTTTTCTTGCATTCTGTAGGCTCCCTCTTCTCATCTTAATTGTTTCCTCTGCTGTGAAGAAGCTTTTTAGTTCAATTCCATCCTATTTGTCAATTCTTCATTTTATTTCTTGCACTTTAAATATGGATTGTTAATTTTTCATTAACAGATACAATACTATTTTATTTGGGTATTAGAAAATAGTTGCTCTAGCTTACAAACTTTAATAATAACAGATAACTGACATTGTTTGCTGGCTTGTATATGAAACGACTGGAATGCTCAAGCATTCCCAGTGATAGTGTAGTCAACCAGTTTGGAAACCAGTCTGACAGTTTTTCATAAAGTCAAATACACTCCAACACATGATCCAGAAATTCCAGTCATAAACTGGAAATTACCCTATGTAGACTAAGTAAATTCCATATTTACCTATCAGAATGAAAGGACATATTCACAAAAAAAAATATTTATAGCAACTTTATTTATAATATCCCCTAAATGGAAACAATCCAAATACTCTCAATAGGTTACTGTATAAACAAATTGTGATCTAGTGAGACAATGGACTACTTTCAGCAATAAAAAAGGGAGTAAAATACTGATAAAAAGTAGCAGCTTAGATGAATCTCAGAAGTACTAAGCAGAGTGAAAGAAGTCGATTGTGAAAGAAGTGGATCATGAAAGAGTGCAGAGATATTTTTAAAACCTGAATTACTTTGACTTTCTTTCTTTTAAATCTAGAATGGTCAGTTGGAGTGTGTACGCTGGATGGTGAGTGAAACAGAAGCTATTGCCGAACTGAGTTGTTCCAAGGATTTTCCAAGCCTTATTCATTATGCAGGCTGCTATGGCCAGGTATGGAGTTTTTAAGTTATCTTCCCTTTATGCACCATATAATTGACTTGTTTTCTTTTTATTTGTTCATCAAAATCCAAACATAAAATATTCAAAATATATTCATTGATTTTTAAGCAATGATAGTAATTGTAGCATTTTTTAATGAAAAAATAAAAACTTTTAAACAACCTGTTAACCCAAGAATAGCAAATTGGATAAATAATAAAGCTATATTCATATGATGGAATTCTCATATGAAATTTCCTCTCGTGTGTATAACTAATTATGTAACATTAATTAAAATGTATGATACAGAACTGTTCCCATAATTTGGTGCCAACTTTGAAATTTGAAGAGACAGAAAGAGAAATAGAAAGTAAAACCAGAAAATAAAACCTATGGTACAACATATTTGTAGTCATTATTGCATAGATAGAACTATAAGTGGCTCTTTTTTGTTCAATATTTTCAGATTTTTATAATAAGTACATTTAACATTTACCAAAAGTTAAAATGCTATACTTTATTAAACCCACATTTGGAAGGAAAATCTTTGTAAGACATTAATCAAGGAAGTCTGCTCAAGTAAAGATGAGCACACTAACTAGTTACAACTAATTTCTGTTAGGAAATCCCAGCATGAGTAATTGATATACCCAGATCAGAATCCAGTATATAGAGTGAAAAATTTTTAAAAAACCTATCTTCCCTTAAGGGAGATGAGTATAAATTATCTTGTAACAACATTGGAACCACAAAATACCAATTTCAGTCTTAAAAATAATAAAGTCAGCAACTGCATTAAAATAGATTTAATCACATTTGCGGCAAAGAAAATCGCCTCTCATGCATATAACTATATCCCTTTGACTTCATAAACTTTCCCAGTGGCAGTAAATTGTGGTATTGTCAATAAGAGATTATGATTTTTCAAACATAATAGTCCCAAATTCAAAAAATAGACTGAAGAATATTGTCACAGTCTTTTTTTTTTTTTTTTTAACAGAAGGGGGTGATTAAACCCAGAGCCTTGCATATGCTAGGCAAGTACTCCACCACTGAGCTATGCCTCACCCTCTTTTTCATTTTATTTTGAGACATGGTTTTGCTAAGTTGCCCAGGCTGGTATTGAACTTTGAATCTTCCTGTTTCAGCCTCCTGAGTAGCTGGGATTGCAGGTGTGCACCACTGAGCCTGACCAGTCTTTCATTAGTTGGAGTCATGCTAGCTGATAGTTTTGTTATTTTTTTTAACTGATCATTTATTTTTTACCTTAGTAACTTCAATTAATACAGATACAAATGTATTTCAAACAATATAAATAAACTTTGTATGTATAAAATTATATATTCAGAGGCATACACACACATAATGTTTCCTATGTGTGCCAGGCTCTATACTATTGGGTTTTGTATACATTATCTGGTTCTTAAAACAACTCTATGAGATGTTTTTAACCCCATTGTATAGATGAGGGGACTGAAGAAAGAAAGTTGAATGACTTATACATGGTCTAATGGCTAGAAGAGAAAAGACTAGAGTTCTGCTCTGGTCCTCAGACTCCAGGGCCAGTTTCTATTTGTCCCCATCTGTGTAGAAAATTGGTACAGATTGTAACAGTGGCATTGATACAACTGAAGAAGACTTTTTTACATTTTGTCTAACAATAAATACACTGATATACAGAGTACTTCATTGCTCATTGAAGTGAGCAACTGTGCAAATTTATGAAATGGAGAAAGGATCAGGAAGAACATTTAAGACGTGTAAAAGCCACTGTCTGAAATGTTTCAGTTACTCAGTTTTCTTCATGCATTTTACTGGCTAGTCCCCATCCACAATGTCCTAAAAACAACCAATAGTGATTGATAGGCATTGGCTTAGGTGGCCCTATTTTGCTTATAACGGCAAAAGGAAGAATAGAAATTTTAAATGCTCAGGAGGATTGATCACTGTTAATTTTTATAAATCACTTTCAGTATAAAACAGAATTTTATTAAATTGTGTGGGTAATTGTTTCATGTTCCTAAGTCCTTTTGCCTATAAAGCCTAACAAGGACTTTAAGACATCTGTGGCAGAGTTTACCAGAGTCAAGGAGGAAAGGATAGAGTTGTTCTGAGCCTCTCAGTGAATCTCAGATTCAGCATTCTTCATCTTGGGAAATGTTGCTCATATATACTAGTTTCTTTATTCACAGCAGGTTCCTCATAATTTTGAATCTGTTGGGATACCACAAAAGAAAGGGGCCTGTCTGAGACTGGCTGGGTAAAGTGTAGCTGAAGTAGAGGAAACTATGGAAGTTACTGACTTGTTGGAAGAGCTGTGTCGTTTGCTTTACTTTATTACCAATCTTTAGATTATTTCAAGCTGATAAGCATTTTTTTATTGACCTTAAGTAGAACTTTGAGGGTTGGGGGGGCAGCCGGGCAGCACCCTTAGGAGAGCATTCCTGCCCAAGTGGAAAATATAAAAGCCCTTTAGATCTGTGAATTCTGTCCAGCCGTCCTATATCCGCCACAGCCACTTATGTAACAGATAACCTGCAGAGACGCCTGAACTTGGAACCATGACAAGGCTAATATTTTCACAAGGAAGACTGTTATTGAACAGTTTTCTAATGAATTCAGCACATGCAAGTTTTTCTACATCAAGCAGGCACTTGAGTGTGTTCTGATTTTGTTTCTTCAGTAAATACCTCTGGAAAAGATAGCACCAAGGAAAATTCCTCTCTCCGTTTATTTTAGTTGCCCTCTGCCCCTCATAGCGATTCTTAAAGAATGGGCTCCATTCGACTCCCAATTTGTGTCCTTTTTCTTGTAAAAATTACCTTTAAAGACTTCAGTACCACAGGGTAGCCAGCAGTTTTTAGTGGCCTCCTGGAGTGATAGATCTTTGGGTGATAGGAATTGATTTTCCTCTTCTTGACACTTGAAGTCTCAGAGGGTACAATTATTTCATTGCCTGATGGTGCCTAGCGGAACATGCCACGGGGAGCACCAAGGTGAAAGCCTGGGGAGACTGGGGGAACAAGCAGGTGTCCTTAGCCAAGCCTGCCTTGCCATCCCAGAAGAGGGATGTTGCTGCCAAAACAATTGAGTCACAACCATGTTGATTCGAAGCTCCTATTCAAAGCCCATGTAAGTTGGGCTCTTTTATTCAAACATGAAGGTTGCATCCAGGCTCTTCCAGCAGAGATTCCCACCTGCAGCTGCTTGGGGCATCAGCCTGTTCTGCATTGGTCACTGGCTCTCTGTGCCTTTCAACATCAAGCTTGTAATTCCTTGTTTCTGAATCATTTACATGCCATTTGGTCAGGACATCCTTCTACAAAAATTGCATCCCAACATCAAGCATTTACCAAGAGCACCTTTGCCTATGCTGTACTTATTCTCCATTTTAAAGGTTTGCCCTGAAACAGATACTTTCAAAGAGCACTTTCTGAAAAGGGAAAGGCTCAGCAATTCCTATGAATGCCCATGCTTGAGCAGCAGTAGACCTGTCCGCAAGAGGGATGCTCCTGCAGGCTCTGTTCTTCTCGTTTCTCCCCAACTGACTTTAGAAAGGAGACTATTCCCTTGACATTATTATTCCATTGACTTTATTGTCTCACTGCCATGGTGCAGAAATAAGTAAACAACCTGAAAGTGCTGCCTACATTTTCAGATGAGAGAAAAATAGAAAAATCTTTGATTAGCATTGGCATCCATCTGCTCTGCAAATACTGATCTCAAAAAAACCCAACTGAGCCAGAACTCCACAGCCCACAGTCTGACAGGCAGTTAACAGTGATTTCTTTGACCCATGGGCCTGAAAAAGAGAGAATGTCCTTTAGATTTAAGGGCAGTGGAGGAATGAGTAGTTGTGCATGTTTGTGTTCATAGATAGAAAGCAGAGTCAAGAAAAGCATTGGTCCCTAACTCAAGCTGTCTGGGTTTAAATCCTAGTCACCAGTTACTAGCTGCATGGCCGTAGAAACATTCATTTACAGAAAATAAAGGAAAGAAGAAAAGGTCTCCCTGGACCTCACTTTCCTCATCTACTCCATATGGATAATAGATCCTTCCTTATAACATTGTTCAAAAGACTGAGTAAAAAACAAACATACTTCCCAATACAATGAAGGTACTAGATAAATATTGACAGTTGTGACTGTTATAATTTGTTATTTTATTGCTATCAGTATTATTTATTTACTTATTTCACCATAGCTAAAGAAATAAGAGAAACTTGCCAAAGAATTATTTGGGCCTCAACCTATTTAATCAATTTTTGCATGCACCTTTCCCCCCACAGTTTACCATCTCCAGATTCTACATTTACTTCAATAAATGACATTATGAAATTATGGCTGGCCATTTTTCCCCTACATTTTAACTTCTCAAAAACTGGAATGAATCTTAAAATCAATGGCATGGTAGATTTGATGATCTATGGCTGCAAACAAAGCTGACTCTTTTCAGAACTTGTGATTGCACCACAAACTATTGAGATTTTATTGATACCAGCAATAAAACTGTGACATACTTTCAATTAAATTTTCTATTAGACTTTATCCAGCAAGTCTCATAAATTACATGTATTAATTGCCTCTTTAAACAACTTGCATTGCCTTTGGGAACACATAAAATACAATACTATATCAGGTTACCAAAAGATCAGAAAATCCCTAGAAAAGGAAATTGGTACATGAAGGAAGTTTTTAGTCAGTAGATGCAAGTTGAACAGAGAGATGCATGTGTGGGTGCAGGGATGAAATGTAAGTTGGAAAATCATTCTGTGAAATGGAAGTAATGCAGAGGGCCTTTTCATCTATGTGACAGCATTGGATGCTCTCTGAAAGTAATACAGGGAAATGAAAATCAAAGTTATATTGTTTCTTTAACTTCTCCTCCCTATAGACACAAACAGAGAGAGAAAGGGGGGAGATATGTTAAAGGGTTAAGGGGAGGTAGACACAATTTCCTATAGATAAAATACACATGTGCTTTAATAAGGAGAAAGTGGCCATATATATTTTGATCTTCTCATGAGGTATTGTTTAAATTGTGCATCTCACAGGTATGTTCCCCAGAACCCAAGCAGAATTTCTCTGGTTTTACCAAAACTACAGATGCTAGCCACCTCTATGTCCATCTCAGAAATCCTAAATGAGAATGGTTAAAAGACCAGGCATATAATCAGCTAATTTCTTTTAGTAGTACTTCTCTGTGTGGTATAATGGGAAGGATTTTTATTTTTGTATACTGGCTAAGCCAACTGCCTATCTTCTTTGGAAAGTAAATTGTCCTATAAAAACACCAAACTAACTTGGAGTTGTTGGGCAAACACCTGACTTGTTCTGAACAATCAAAAATTGTTCTTCCTTTACGTAAGTCTTAAATTAGGTAAACTCTCTAATTGTCACTGTAAGAAAATAAGGGAGTTTATTGTAACTATACAGACTGATCCTGGCTTGTAGAGCTCTCTGGAGCCAGGGAACTGTGTCTGGCTCACATGGACCTCGTGTGTCTCATTCTGCATGGTAACCAGGCTTCTGCAAAGAGCCCTAGATTCACCCCAGATTTCCACAACAGGAAAATTCCTAGTCTTATGAAATGCTGTATTCCACTGCCTACACCCACCCACTGCTAAAAGTCAGAATACTGTGATTTTAGTAAATGATGCTTTGGGCAGGTGGACTATCCAAATATAGTATCCACAATACTATATAATTGGGTCTGAAAAAAAAATAAGAAAATTTGCATGAAAAGAAGGTACAGATAATACATTGATAAATACCTTAAACTCCTTTGCACTAAATAATGAGCTGCTAGAAATCAGAGTACACAAAAATGTCCTCTCCCTCAGTTTTCTGATTTATAAAGTAGGACTGTTTGAACTGCATGATTCCCTAAAATTTCTTTCAGTCTATAGTTTTAAGAATCCATATTCTAATATTATGGAGCAAACCAAGTTACTGTGGCTTAAAAATGACCCACCGAAGAGGCTTATTTTGCATATGGTTGCGCCATCTTTTTTCACCAGTGAGGACACAGCAGGCCGCCCTCCTCATGCAGTATCCATATGTCTTAGCCATTGACTGTAGAATGGTTGGTTATGCCTTTTATCCTAAAGTACTTCTCATTGAGGTTCTCATTGATTTGTTTATTTGTTTTATGGTACTAGGGATTGAACCCAGTAGTACTCAACCACTGTGCTACATCCTAATCCCTTTTATTTTTATTTTGAGACAGGGCCTTACCAAGTCATCTAGGTTGGCCTCAAACTTGCAATCCTGGTTCACTGAGATTTTTTTAAGGAGTTAAGATTACAGGGGCTGGGGATGTGGCTCAAGCAGTAGCGCACTCGCCTGGCATGCATGCGGCCCGGGTTCAATCCTCAGAACCACATACAAAACAAAGATGTTGTGTCCGCTGAAAACTAAAAAATAAATTAAATATTAAAATTCTCTCTCTCTCTCTCTCTCTCTCTCTCTCTCTCTCTCTCTCTCAAAAAAGAAAAATTACATAGTACAATCATCTGTTTCCAAGTAAAAGTAATGCAATATTTCTTTCCTACCCAATTAGGAAAGGTAAAGGAAGTGGTTTTACCTCATGCATGTGGAAAAATTACCTGTTCTGGACCAAAATGTCAGCTCCAACTTTCTCCAGGTTTGCATAGATAATATGTGAGCATATCAAAATATAAGCATATCAGAATATCCAAACTCTATATATAACTCCCTACCTTCACCTTAGGGCTCTGCTCCTTCTTGGGGGATCCTTAAGGGTTTCACTTTCTACAGGGTCTGTCTGCTTTTGCAGCTAACACTCACCCTGCTTCCCCAGGTGCATTCTTGGGAGGCTATAAGCAGTGATTACATTTTTCTCATCTTGTTCTTTAGGACTCCTTACTCCCTACTTGCTCATTTGGAAAGAGTGTGGTGCAAATGTTCAGTCTGTCCCTGATGTCTCAGATACCTTCATAAACAGCACCCTGTCCCCCAGCATAAGAGGTGAAACATTAAAGGAACTGGCTGTTTTTGTCCAACATTCCTTTAGCAGATTAGTTGGCATGTTTGGAAGATAAAGGCAAATTTAATCCAGGAAAGTATAAAAGTTCATGACCACTCTGAGCAAATAACTGGAAAAAAAAATCCTTTAAAAGGCTAAGAAGAAAGAAGTTCAAGGCTATTTCAAACACATGATCATCTTTTTAAATGTCAAATTCCACCCACTAAACTTCATGCTGTTGTTTTTACCACTCTCATATTTTTTTTAACTTTATATTTAATTTTTCTATTTTAAAACAGTGAAATCCCATCCCCCTGCTTTCTCTGAAGGCCAAGCATAACACAAAAATACCACAAAACACTGGGTAAAATGCAAACAGATGGTGACGAAACAGACTGACTGCTCTACGATTTTGCCTTTGAAAGGTTTATGTTCAGAGCTTTTGGTCCCTTTCCTTTAACATGGAAGAAGAAAAAAAACTTTGCCTTTAAAACACCACCAACAAGCAGTTTCTGGTTGTATTTCAGTGGGGTTATCTTGACAATTTAAGGTGTTATCTCTTTTTTTTAAGTCTGTTGATTTGCCAGAGGTATGGGATTAGGAGGCACAGTGTAAGAATTATAAATTTAAAAGTAAAAGCTAGCTATCTCAGTAGTCCAAGGTTTTATGAATGTACTTGAAACCCACAGGCAGTTTAACACAATAGCCAAAACATTGTCTTGAGAGCCTTGGAACCAAAAGACCTGATTCTAGTTCCAACCTTGGATCTGTCTAGCTGTGTGACTTTTAGGAAGTTCTTCAACTTTCTGTGAATTGTTCTCCCACCGGTAGAATAAGTAAATAAAACCAGAGCATTTCCAAGGTAACATCCTGCTCTTAGAATCCCCTTTGTGTTCCTCTTTCGTTCATTTTTGGTAAGAGATTTGTGGATTTTTCAGTTTGTACTGAATGGAAATTTTCTTTTGGTACAGGTGAGTTTCCTTTACATACTCTTCACCAGTTAGAGTCTTGTTTTCCTCTGTCTTCATATGTGGCTTCTCTGCATGATATTCCAGTGATTCCTAGTGTTCTTGTGTTGACAGGAGAAGATTCTGTTGTGGCTTCTTCAGTTCATGCAAGAACAAGGTATCTCGCTGGATGAAGTGGACCAGGATGGCAACAGTGCTGTTCACGTCGCCTCACAGCATGGCTACCTCGGGTGCATCCAGGTATGCAGTGCTGCTGCTCTGCAGACAGGAAGGAGCTATCAAATAATTTTTTTAAAAAAATGGAAATTTTGCTCACTGGGAGAATGCCTGGATTAGTTCACCTTTGTTTTATGATGTAAATAAAGAATTATAATGTTACAGATTTTTATTTCTAAAAATCCACACACATGTAGGCACAAATAGCCCTAAGAGTTTCTCCTGGAGCATCAGAGGGTGTTGAAAGGGACTTGTACTGCTCTCTCAATAGTCCAAAGTAACATCACTATAAAGCCCTAATGCTGACTAAATAAAAAAATATATCCATGTTTTTGGACCCCTAACTAAACCTGAGCCTCTTTGAATGCATTTGAGAAGTTCAGCCCTACTTTAGAGAAAGGGGGAAAACACAGCACATTCTTGCTAGACTACTGCTCCCCTACTATGAAGAATCCTTCTAATACATTTCTGGAAAATCTGTCCTATTTTCCGCATACCTGGGGAGGAGAGATGCACTAATGAGGACAACAGAAGCCCACTTGAGAGACTAAAAAATCGTCGGTCTTGTAGGGTTTTTCCCGTTGTTCTGATCCTCTTGGACCTTAGGCAGGGCCTCAGTCGGCTAACCATTCCACCCAGAGGCCTCAAGCAGCCTCATGCTTTGAGCCCAGCATCCCTTCCAAATGTTCTTGTGTTCAGTGTGTGAGATGATATTAAAAGACTGGGGAGCAGAGCCACAGGAGAAGGGAGGGAGGCTCTTCTGCCTGCTCCAGTCCATGTGAGGAGCCCTCCAGAAGCATGGGTTCCTGCAGAAAGAGGCAATGGTATCTCATCATGCCACAGAATACAGAGCTGCCCAAAGCTGAGTCACTTTCCACATGGCACTGAGAGCCATCCCAGAAGGTGGGGGGAGAATGCATGTGAAAACTGGATAGAACTTTCCACCTGGAAAATGTTGAAGGCCCTCAGGGACAGAAGAAAGAGAGAGGGTGACCTAAGGAGGAGGAGGAACAGGTGGGCGAGGAGCAGTAGTGTAGGGACAGCAAAGACTTTGGCAGACAAAGTTGAAGTTTAGGTTTGGCCTGAAATTTTATTTTTGACAATAAGTTATGGTTACCAGGATCAGGCCAATCAGACCATTCTTATCATTGAAAATGCCTGAACATTTGTGAATTTTTTCCCCCCACATCTCAGGGAAAGGGAAATTGACAACACATGGTTGAAAGCCATGACTGGAGAAAGTATTTCCACCTCAGCGATTTCATACAGTTCAAAATGTGATGTTCTTGTAACATGTAACACATTTTCCACCTCTACAAAGCAGCACTCCTTTTGGATTATGTACGCATTATTCCCTTTATTGCAAACCCTGTGTATTCATTTATTCAACAGGTACTTGTTGATGCCCTACTGTGTGCAGGTTAGGCTGTATTTGAAAGAGAAAAGTAAGCAGTGAGAACCATTTACTCAAGAAAGTAGAGAGGACTCAGGAAATAATAGGAGACTACACAGAAAAACTTTGAATATAAAAAGGGGATTAATAATAAAAACAAAAGCAGAGATCCAGCAGAAAGCTTACTATAGTTTGTACTCACATGAAACTGCTCTTTGAAGAATTGACTTGATAGGAAATAAAGTGTCTGAACATTTTCCCATTATTGTTGGCAAAATACACATCTTCTAATTTAAGGCATCAGACACCAGTTTATAAAAGGAATGGTAAGAAACTGGAAAGTATATAAAGGAAAGAAATTTAAATTCTTCCCAACATCTGCAAAAAGATTAAAGGAGTAGCATTATTTTTTTGTGGCAAAAAGATAATTGAATGAACACTGAAAATCATATATTTCCCTTTCACAAGATACTCTAATGTTAAATAGTCTTGGAATAAACTTTTTATCAGCTTGTACTAATAACTGAAAGCCAAAGACATCCAGCTGCTATCACTAATTCTATGTAAGATGCTAGTTTGTTTGTTTTTTTAATAGGGGGAGGGGGTTCTGGGGATTGAACTCAGGGACACTCAACCACTGAACCACATCCCCAGTCCTGTTTTGTATTTTATTTAGAGACAGGGTCTCACTGAGTTGCTTAGCACCTCGATTTTGCTGAGGCTGGCCTTGAACTCCCAATCTTCCTGCCTCAGCCTCCCGAGCTGCTGGAATTACAGGTGTGGGCCTATTTTTTTTTTTAACATGTGAAGGGAGGCTGTCAGTCCTTCCAGAGCATTCATCACTCCACTTAACACAAATGATGTTTTTGGCGCTAGATACGATGGATGTGGAAACTTGGATAACCTTGGTCTGTCCGCTGGATGTGAGATTTAAAAGAAAACGAGACTGAGAGAGTGAGCAAGGGGCCTTATGCAGTGAGGAGGGGACTGAGGAAGGAAAACAGTGGAAAGAAAACTGCAGAGGTCAGAGTCCAGGGGAGTAATAACAGTGTGTGTTTATACTCAGTCTCCTGGAGAGCTCGATGCTGACAGGGTCTCTGGGACACCCCTTGAGGAAGGTGGCAATGGCTTTATAGTGATTTGACCTTTCATGGTGAGTGATCATAAACCAAAAGGAAAAAGAAGCTCCTTAATGCTCTTTCAGATTTAAGTAGCCTAAGAATTTAAATAGATGTATTGTGTGTGGGAAAAAACCATTACTACCAAAATAAATCTAAAGGTTTGCAATCGCACCATGAACTGTCAAAGAATATATCAGATTGTGGTGGTTAATTAATATTGATGTGACAGCTTTTTTGTGTGGAGTCTAATGGCATCACAGTATAAATAGAAACTAAATAAAACTTTTATGCTTTTAAAGTATTGATTTCTGCCACACTGCATCAAATCTCCTCCTCTACTCTTGATACCTCGACCAGATTCCATAGCTTTAGGCTTGTCTTTGACTATTAAACTTTACTTCAAACCAGCTTAAAACCTCAATCTTATTTCTGATTCAAAGCATTCTCCCAGCGCCACCCCCAGCCAAATTAAGGATGTAGGATGAGGAGTGAGGCTTGATCTGCTTTTAACACACCACTTTAGCTCCTGCTCCCCTCTGTCTTCCATGCTGCAGTATCAAAGACAAAGAGAAGGTATGGAGAGAAAAAAAGTCAAGTGTCTCTTTGCTTAACTGGGAAAGGCCATGTCCTCCCTGAAAGTTGTCACTGCTTCTTTGGCTGTGATCACTGACATGCTCTATGACAACCCTCAGATGACATCTGTCTGATGGGTGCCGTGGTAGGGTCTTCCCCACCAGTACCTGACATAGGAGTCCTGGCCCCCCACTTTGCCTCATCCTCTCCTATAAATTTCTTCACCCTATGGGGCAATCCACTGTCAAGTGCTTCTGGAGAACCCTCTCCTTTTGTGTGTGAATGGGGGATGCCGAAAGCAAGTTCCCACCAAGCTCCCTTCTACAAAGTCTGCTCAGTCCACAAACACATCCTGGCCATAACACATGGTAAGGGTCTGGGCTGCTTCATAGCTTCCCCAATCTCTGCCATGCCATCTCTTCAGTTCTTTTTATTTCTGGTCAGGTGGGCTCAGCAAGAGATCAATAAGGGTTGTTACAAAACCAGCTATCAAAGCCCAAGCAAATAGGAACAGATAAGCAGAATTTCATTCCTCCCATCTTACAGGCATCTCTGAATTTATGAACAATTCTTTTGGAACCCAACCACCACAAGCATTATACCTTTCAGGAAGGAAAGAGCTCTATGGACAGCAGCAGCCTCCTCCCTTTCCCAGACCTCTCCCCGTTAGGGTACAGTAGGGTTGGATAGTAGGATGGGTCCAGCTCTACCTTTGTAGGCTCTGAAGGGAGGAGGCAGACTTCAACCCTAAATAGGCTCCAGCAGCTCTCTTTTCTAGGTACTGGTATCACCACCCCCAATTCCACGGGCTTTGGAATAACAAGAGTTCTTTCTTGATCCTGTTACAGTCATTAAAAAATATTTAGATGGAGGACCTGATACAATTCCATGTTTCTGCATTTTCTGACAGACCCTGGTGGAGTATGGAGCAAACGTCACCATGCAGAATCACGCTGGGGAAAAGCCCTCCCAGAGCGCTGAACGTCAGGGGCACACCCTGTGCTCCCGGTACCTGGTGGTGGTCGAGACCTGCATGTCACTAGCCTCACAGGTGGTAAAGTTAACCAAGCAGCTAAAGGAGTAAGTGGCCTCGAGATTCTGTGAGAACAAAGTTATGATTTGCCATTGTCATGAACAGATTTCAGGCCAAGGGCCATGGTGAGCTCCCTTCATTCCAGTGGTAGAGGGAATTTCCAGCATTCTCCTCTCTTCTTTTCTTCCCCCATCCTAAGTGTTCACATCCAGTGTTCATGCTGAACATGCCATCTCTGCAGCAGCAAAATGATATTTAAACCACAAAGTGCAGAGCAAGCTCCCTAAAAAGGGAATTTGAGCCACAATAAAAAAGGAGAGAGAGCCTTCATGTTCACATCTCAGGGCCAGATTATGTAGCAGGACATTGAAGGCACACATATGTATCATCTTCAACCTTCTGTACTTAATATTCTAGGAGATCATCAAGATCATGAGAGAGAGAAAAAAAGGTTAGGGATGGATATATACATATACATATATATATAATATATATTATATAACACATATAAATATATACATATAATATATATGTATATATATTATATATAACATATATAAAATATATATGTATAATATATATATATAATGTTATATATAATATATTAGCATATATTATATATATATATATAGAATTGAATACTGATTCCAATTTCCAGGAAACTCTCCCTAATACCATAACTGTAATTTATTGGTGTGCTTTCCAAGGGCTGACCTCAGCCCTCTCCGTGGCCTGAGATAGATAGATAGATAGATAGATAGATAAAATTACAGTAAGTGATTTGGTTACCATCACCAGCAAATTTACTATAAAAAAATAATGAATCCTAGGAATAGAAAAGTGTTCACTCTGTGACTGAAGTCAGTTCTTTCCTTGATATGATTATTAAATGGGTACACATTACATCTCTGGGTGTCAGGGAAGCATTGTCACGTGATATGCTTGAGGAAAGGGGGGCCAGATGAACATCTGTCAGGTGGCTCTCCAGCAAGCTGAAGGATGAAGGAGCTCAAAGCATACCAATAAATTACAGTTATGGTATTAGGGAGAGTTCCCTGGAAATTGGAATCAGTATTCAATTTATTTATATATACACACACACATATATATACATATATATGTACATATATATACATAAACTAGTGAAATCTATAGTATAGTGAATATATATAAAAAATATTAAAATATATGTGTATAGTGTGTGTGTGTGTGTGTGTGTGTGTGTGTCCCCTGGTTATAGCTCATTTAAATAAAAGGGCTAGGGCAGGGGAGAGGCCTTAATTGGTCTAAATCATGCAACAATATGGCAAAGCCTTGGACCTTCTTATCTTCTCTAAACCTGGGGAAAACTCCCTTATCTCTCTACTTTCACTCTCTTGCCTTAAAGGTACTAGTCTATATCCCTACCCCTGCCAGTACCCAAAATAATCTTTTTAATGAGTTGAGACTTTTCATAGAAAATAAAATGAAATTTAAGATAAAGGGCTACTTCGAAGCATGCTCTGTCCAGTAAACAAAACTTCCCTGGACAGGTTAGCTAGGTAGGCTTAAAGGTCTCAATATAATTGAAGAAAAAATGTGAACAAAGTAATGAACAATTCAGTAAGTTATTTTCCACAGTGAACATACCTATATCTTTATGTATCTATGTAGATACTCCTAAAAATAAGTTCTAAGGAAGGGAATTGTTAGAACAGAAAGCATACATCTCGAAAATGTGGATATATGTTGCCTAATGTTTTTCCAAAATTCTCTGACAATATTCATTTCCTCCAGTGTATGGATATATCCATAATGAGGAACTTCAAAATGATACAACAGAATATTTTTCTAAAATGGAGAAAAGATTAGAAAACATTTTCCTCAGTCTTCATCTGGTGGAATCTGACAAGCTTTCATGAGCTATGTGTCTGTTTTATTGAACTGCTCCAATTTAGCAGCCTGGCTGCTCTCTCTGTTGGTGATCATGGGTTAAAACACACATATACACTAAGAGACAGCATCCCTCCAGTTGTCTCCAGTTAGGCCAGTGACAATGTGAGAGGTTATCTTGTTGACCCTAGTCTTTCACTTCCTGGGTACTCAGTGAAGTTGGCAACACTAGAAATGAACAGAGAAATCCACTTGATAGAGTGCCCTCAGGCAGTGGGGCACCTGTAACAGAAAGTGGCAGATGCAGATACAAAATACTAGTCTTCTCAATGCAAAACTCTGAGGAGAGAGAATTGATATGTCTTCCTACTATGATACCTTCACCAGCTCTGTATAGTTAAATAAACAATTATTCTTTAGAACGACAACCTTCAGTTCTAGTGAAGTCCCAGTCAACAAGTCTAAATATTTTGGGTGGAATTCTGTCCCAACCAAAAATTTATGTTGGAGTCCAGACCCCTAGTACCTCAGAATGTGATGTTATTTATAGATAGACAGGGTCTTCCCAGATGTAGTCAAGATAAAATGAGGTCATATGGGTAGGCCTTAATTCAAGGTGACAGCTATCCTTATAAAAGTGGAAAATGTAGACACAGGGACATATATACAGGGAGAACATGAAGGCAGCAATCAGGGTGATTCATCTACAAACCAAGGAACACCAAAGTTCTTTTTAGCAAACTCCCCCAAAGTGAGAAAGAGGCATGGACCAGACTGTCACGGCCTCAGAAGGAACCTGTCTGGCCAATACCTTCATTGTGGACTTCTTAGGCCTCCCGAAATATGTGACAATAATTCCTGCTTAAGTTACCTGGTTTGTGGTACTTTGTTACAACAGCTCTAGCAAACTCATACAGTAGGATTTATTCTCATATATTTTCTATGATTAAAGCTGATTGGTCCTTTTTGAGGTCTTCTTTAGAATCTTTCTTCCCCATTCACAGCTGGGATTCCAGCCAGCAGTCAACCCAACTGCCCCCTAATAATTTTTTTGACTGTGTTATAATTCATTTAGGACACCTAATAAATCCTTCAAACAGAATATAATTTTTCTGCTAAGTGCAGTGACACACACTTGTAATCCCAGCAGCTCAAGAGGCTGAGGCAGGAGGATCGCAAGTTCAAAGCCAGCCTCAGCAACTTAGCAAGGCCCTAAACAACTTAGTGAGACCCACCTCAAAATGAAAAATTAAAAGTCCTGGGAGTGTTGCTCAGTGGTTAAGTACCCTTGGTAACAAAAACAAACAAATAAAAAGAATATAATCTTTCTTCATCCATTTTATCCAATTTCACTAAGCTCTAATGTATTTTTGGTTAATCCAAGGTAAATGAACTGTAGACTGGACCAAATCCAGCCTACCACCTATTTTCATAAGAAAAGTTTTATTAGCACACAGCCACACACATTTGTGTATGTCATGTGTAAGGATGTAGCATGCTGCAAGGTAGAGTTGAATAGTGACAGAAGCTGTATTGCTCACAAGCCTTAAATGTTTACTCTTTGGCCCTTTAACAAAGTTTGCTAGTTTCTTTTAGCAACTAAGTTTTCAATAGGTGAGTCTGGCAGAATAAGTAAGATAAAATGAGATCACAGGCTTAAGAATGAAATATTAGGAATATAACTGATAGCATCTCAAAAAAAAAAAAGAAAGAAAGTGTTGGGGTTTATGGAAAGGTATTGTCAGAATCTGACTCCACAGAACTAGATTTAGGCCGACACTGGCTGTTGTTTGCAGTGACCCCCTGCAAGGAGAACACTGGGCTTCTCCTGGTATCCAAGGCATGGTCATTGCTTTAGCACTTGTAACTCATTTATTCCCTCCTATGCCCTAGCTCATGAGATCTGCTATCATCTTTTATGCTAATTTTATTCATTTTCCATTGTTTATAACAAATTATCACAAAATTATTGGTTTAAAATAGTACAGATTTAACACTTGGTAGGTCAGAGGCCAGTAGGGTCTTGCCAGACTAAAATTAAGGTGTTGTGGCTGTGTTCTTTTCTAGAGGCTTTAGGATAAGTCCTGTCCTGTTTATCCAGGCCATTGGTAGAACTGGTAAAACCTTCCTATTAGAACATCAGCTGATAACACAACTTATTTCCCTTTTGTCACATAAGGTGACACAGTCACACCTTTCGGGGATTAGGACATGGATGGACATCTTTGGGGGTACCACTCTAGTATTACAGGGCTCTGCAAATACTGCTTATCTCTACAAAGCAAGACTCAGTTGATTTATTTGTTTCAACTTCTGTAATAACTTGTGTTTTCTAAATGAATTTTATACCCTGTATCCTGCATCTAATAAATATATATATTAGACAAACCTTCTGAATGCCCATACATAGTCAAATATGTTATCATTTTAATAGCTGACATTATTAGAAGTAATTTTAATTGATTTTCTTAGTTTTACAGATGAGCATTTAGGCTACAGTTTTTTCACTAATGTGCATAATAAGCATCCTTTTCTTAGGAAACTTTCTAAACTCTGAGGAAAAAGATTATGTACTTTTTAAAGGCTTTTTAATTTAGTGTGTCTTATTTCAAATCACTGAAAAATCTTATGCATCCTAGTTTATAGCGAGAGCCGTGTTTTATTTGTCTTCTGCAGACAGACAATGGAGCGAGTCACACTGCAGAACCAACTCCAGCAACTTCTAGAAGCCCAGAAATCAGAGGGCAAGTCTCTCCCTTCCTCACCCAGGTAAGACCAGGCACACTGGTGTAAGGAGTTCTTAAATATATTAAATGCCTGAACCTTCTTATAGATTTCCTTTTAAAGTCTTTTAAGAAAATGACAACAGAAAACATTTTATTCTTATAAACAGGAACAAAAAAAAAATGTCACAGTGAAATAATCAATGAACCTAGGATCCAAAGACCTGAACTCAGATCCCGCCCTGTGATTTTGTTCTACAACAAATTCATCTACTCTGTCTCTTTCATTTCTTGACCTATGAAACAGGAATAAGGATATTTAGGTTAGTAAGGTTGTGGGAAATTGAATTAATTGGGAAAAATATGCAAAATTATGTGTAAACAGTAAAACAGGCAAATTTGGTAGCCTTAAGGTAAAAGGCATGCTGTACTTTAGCTACACTTGCAACTATGGAGTATTTGCAGATTGCTTTGAGAAGTCATTAAGTGATCATTCTTTAACTGCTTTCTTGTTTATGTGTAAATTCAAAATTAAATATGTCAAAATTTAAATAGCTGAGTCACTTTATTTAGCCCAGTAAGAAGTCATGTCCTATGTCCTACATTCACTTTTCAGCTCACCCTCCTCACCAGCTTCCAGAAAGCCCCAGTGGAAATCTTCAGACGCTGAAGATGAGTCTACAGCCAAAAGCAAACCAGGAGTCCAAGAAGGGATTCAGGTCCTTGGAAACCTGTCAGCATCCAGCCGAGCTAGGGCCAAAGCAAAAGACGAAGATTCTGATAAAATCCTGCGCCAGTTATTGGGAAAAGAAATCTCAGAGAACGTTTGTACCCAAGAAAAGCTGTCTTTGGAATTCCAGGATGCTCAGACGTCCTCTAGAAACTTGAAAAAGATCCCTCTAGAGAAGAGGGAACTCAAGTTAGCCAGGCTGAGGCAGCTGATGCAGAGGTCACTGAGTGAGTCTGACACAGACTCCAACAACTCTGAGGATCCCAAGAACACCCCTGTGCGAAAGGCTGACAGGCCCCGGCCGCAGCCCATTGTGGAGAGCGTGGAGAGTATAGACAGCGCAGAAAGCTTACACCTGATGATAAAGAAGCACTCCTTGGCATCAGGACGCAGGTTTCCTTTTAGTACCAAGGCCTCTAAATCCCTAGAGGGCCATAGCCCATCTCCCACCTCAGAGAGCAGCGAACCAGACTTGGAACCCCAGTGTCCAGTCTCGGGGAACACTCCTCCAAGCCAGCCCTCTGGAGAGCCCACTCAGTGCAGCCCTGACAGCACTGCGGCCCAGAAGGTCGCCATGAGTCCCAAGAGCGCCCTCAAGTCTCCCTCTTCCAAACGCCGGACAGCTCAGAACTTGAAACTCAGAGTTACCTTTGAGGAGCCTGTGGTGCAGATGGAGCAAACTAACCTCGAACTGAATGGAGAAAAAGACAAAGATAAGGGCAGGACCCTTCAGCGGACCTCCACAAGTAGTGAATCAGGGGAACAACTGAAAAGGCCTTTTGGAACCTTTCGGTCCATCATGGAGACGCTGAGTGGCAACCAGAACAATAATAACAACTATCAGGCAGCCACCCAGCTGAAGACCTCTACGTTGCCCTTAACCTCACTTGGAAGGAAGATGACAGATGCCAAGGGAAACCCTGCGAGTTCTGCTAGCAAAGGAAAGAATAAGGCAGTGAGTGATCTTTGGAGAATATGATTTTTTTTTTTGCCCTAAAATTGGTTCAGTTGTTCCTGACCCTACAGATTGCTGACCTGTACCACTCTGAGGGAATCCCCAGAAACACTCCTAAAGCCAAACTCATGTTTCTAATGAAACATATCATGTGAGAGTACCTATACCACTTGCTCTGCGTTTAGAAAGAGAAAGAGAGAGGGGGAGGGAGAGACAGCCAGACAGCTAGGTAAATAAATCTCAAGAGATTATATTCTGGTCTCTTGATTTTCCTCAATGGCTTGACCTTTGGATGGTAGGGGTTCTAGTCTTGGAGGCATTTCTATAAGATGAAACCTCCAGTTGATGTAAAACCAGGTCCTTTGCTGGCACTGATTCTGCCTCAGGAAGAGCTTGTTCTTTCCCTGTGACTGGATAGTTTACTCTCAAGCCCAATTAAAAGGCACATAAATAGAAACTCTATTTATAAGACTTTCAACTACTCAACTTCCAAATGACCTTTGAAATGAATACACCATGGGGGCCTCCACACTGGCATTTTTAAAACACAGACCCCTAGTGTTGATTGGAGGCTGCAGGAGTCTGAAATGCTTGCCAGTACACAGGGGATGGCAGAGTGTGCCATAAACTACATCTGATAATTGCTTTTATTGGAAACCCATGCATGATAATTTGTGATTTGCATCCATTGAATCAGAGATTTCCAACGTCTTTTTAGACAATGTTTTCTGCATGCTCTGTGTTTCCCACACCATCAGAATACAGCAGAGCAACCAAAATGCACAACTCTCTGTGGAAAAAAAATGACCCAGATCATCCACACTCTATCTAGATAAACCACCCAGCGGAGTGTCAGATCTTCATAACATATTTTTGACAATAATGGTAAAATCCTAATCACACCAAAGTCTTAAGAACTGTCCCCATTCTTTCTATGCTACCAAATCAGTCAATGGATTCAGCCAATCCATTGATTGAATAACAATTTTCATATTATATACCAATTTCTTTTTGTAAATTGCCCTTGTTATAATGGATTTTAGCATGTGATTGTTCCATCTAGGCCCAGACACCATACCTCTTGGATTAAATATGTCAAAATTTAAATTGTTCAAATAAAACTTTTCCAAGTAACTTAATAGATTCTCTTAATCAGTAGAAAATGGAGAATCCTCTGTATAGTTTCCTTACTCTCTAAAGTGTTTCTCCAGCTATTGTCCTCTGCCCTGTCTCCAGCATGCTTTGTGTTACTGGGGCTGTGCATGTGCTGAGCTTGTTGCATGTTTTCAGATGATTTTAATTGCACCTCTTTAGGAGATGTACAGCAGCTGCATCCATCTTTCCTCTAACACGCTGATTGAAGAGCATCTGCGTAACTATGCACGGTATGTGGTGCCTGGAGATGCATTGTGCAGCATTGCCATGGCTTTGCTTTGAAGTGCATGAGCTTTGAAATTACGGACCTGTAGAACCTTTCAGCAGTTGATGACACCAAGGAAGAAGAAAGTTGCAACTCTGCCCCCAAAATAGAAGCAGGGGCAGATGGTAACTAGGACTTAGGTAACTAGTATCTGTTGGAAGGGCTGTGTTCCAGCATCAGTCAGAAAATCTACTCATTTCACAAACTTGCTGTGTTTCTTAGTTGACTTTGGCTTCTGGTCTTTGTTTTAATGGAGTCAAGTACCAAGTAAGTATTGAAATTAAATTTCCTGTCATGGATAGAAGGAGTCAGCCTCCAATCAGAATCAGAACTTTGAAACAGAGCTGGAGTTTTATTTCAGGGCTGACTATAGATGGAAAGCTCCTTTCATCACCATCCTACTAATCTTGGGAGAAGCAAGCTTTGCCAGGCTGAAACTTCTCTAGCTTAGCATTTTGAACCACAATCCCTATCCAGAATCCCACCAAAAAAACAATTTCCCAGAATTAGTAACCAATACAAAATGCATGGGCTCTGTGCATGAAAGAGAGAAGATCGGGTCCCCAGTGATTGGGGTACCTCCTTGGGCAGAGTCCTTCTGCAGCATGGTGTTCATCCCCGTGCTGGGAGTATGCACAATTTCCTAACCAGGAGGAGAGCGGAGGAGCAAAAAGTGAGCAGCCCAAGGGGAGCTAATGAGCTCACTGTCTTTTGACTGGTTTATTTGAGTAAAGTTAATTCCCCAAACCCATTTTAAAAGGAGACTGTTGCTTTTAAATCATGTAAATAATTAAACCATGACATGCCATTAAGCACTCTTCCAAAATTCTCCGAAGAATGTGTGTAGTGTGTGTGTGTGTGTGTGTGTGTATGTGTGTGTATGAGAGAGACAGAGAGAGAGAGAGAGAGAGAGAGAGAGAGAGAGAGAGAGAGAGAGAGAAGAAGAAGAAGAAGGAGGAGGAGGAGGAGGAGGAGGAGGAGGAGGAGGAGGAGGAGAGGGAGATAGGAGAGAGAGAGAATTTATTATTCATCTGGATTTTAGTTCAGTATACTAAAGTGCAAGAAAGTAACTCTCTTTTTTTTCCCATCTCTAAATCAGCTTTCATCTGCTCTAAGTCTGTACTCAGGCTAGAGGGAGATTAAATCTCAGTCGTGCGAGGGGGTGCCCTAAAGGTCTTATGAATTAGTAAACTGAAGTAAGAGCCTTGGAGATTCAGTGTTTGCTGGTCACCCGTGGTCTGCTTGGGTACCACTCACATGTGGCCTGAAGGCAGGTACCTGGACTGCTTCCAGCCATCCTAGGGCAGAGAATCTTGGCCAGGGCTGAGAGTCAAAGGCCTGCGGTAGAAAGGGAAGAGGAAGAAATACTCCCCTCCCAGACACCGGGAGTAACCCACTTATATTTCTTTCAATACAGTTTCCCCATGCTTATATCCTTCTCTGTCCCCATGTTGGGTTGAATGTGTCTTCTGCTGCCTGGGAAATTCTCTTTTGTCCTTAATCAGAAGTCACTGGCAACACCCCCAGGAAAGGAAGCACACTTGGCAAATTCCCTGGGAGCAGGAAGGAAAATGAATACCTCTCATTTCTTCCAGGCTTCTATGGCACTGGGAACAAGACAATTAGTATCACAATAGATTCTCCTGCCAGAAATATTTCATCCTGTCTTTTTACAAGCAAAGGAACAAAGCTGAGCAATTTGCTATAATAGGATTACAAAAATCAGAGCACAAAGTGAGGTTATGGGGCTACTCGGATATCTGACACTAGGTTAGCACTTTCCCACTCAGCTTAAGGAACCATCCCTCCAATGGCTCAGTTCTGCACACTCCAGATTCTCTGGCTTTATGTATTAGCAAAGTTTGATTTCAGCACTAACCACTTAGAAACCCAGAAGTAAAAATAATGTATTAAATAAGTATCCTGACCCCTTCTCCTCCCTAACCTATAAATTAACCTACAATTTATCATAGTTTTAATTTGTCATGTGTTTCCATAAAAAAGGAGACACTAGTTTTCTTCATATTGCAGAGAAAAATGTTTCACTGATTCACTTATAATCACACACAGGTGAAGAGAACTGGCCGGATTCATTCCTTAGATAAATCAAGGACAGGTCTCTCTATTTCAAATAAAGAATCCTTGGAGAAATTAAGATTAGAGTAAAATGCTGGCATGAAAAATACCTGATTGACTCTAGTGCCTGCCTCGTTTCACCAGTGGCACCCAACTACAAGAAGAAAGGAGCCCATGTATTTATCAACAGCCTCAATTCTTGGCTCCAGAATTACTTGAAGACCAGATGGTTCCTCTCAGGTCACAGGAATTACCTAAAAGTCACTGTCCTGTCAGCAGAGGCCTGGGGAAGAGTGGGGCAATGGATCTCAATTCCAGAGATATATGAAATCTCATTTCAGTTCCTAAGAAATTTTTATTTTTCCTAGTAAAGGAAAAATTGGAGCAATAAATAGAACATTTTAAAGAATGTCAGCTCTGTAAGGGAGTTCTGTTTGCTATTTGTTTTTCTAAATTGGTCACAGTTTGATAGCAAAGAATCTAAATTTCTTTTCAATGCCCTTTAAAATTAGATTCAACCTTATTGCTTTCAACAGCTTTCCTAGTGTGTTTCAACTGCAGAGGATGAGTTGGTTTATAACAAGCAGATTTATCTTAACTTTTTCTTATGAAAGATAAGTTTGTTTTGCGTTATTACAACTCAAAGGGAATTTTTGCAATTACCGGTCTTAAAATGCCAATGAAACATTTTTTTCCCAGAGTTTAAGTCTGTCTGAGATCCCTAACGCTGAAGTGCATGTTGATTCCAGTTAGCAATAGGCAGAAGGTGGTAATCTCTGGCCACAGCCAGTGACACCTTCTCTGATCATGGTGGCTCAGCCTCCTGATGAAACCCTGATCCTAGCTCCAGCATTAGGGGAGACTCCTTAAAAAGACATTTAAGCAATAAATGCCATTAGTATGGATTGTACTGCCAAGGAATTAGTCACACTGGGAATTATATAGGCAGAGCCAAGAGCTAACATCAAATATTTTGCACAGATTAAAAGGTTCTTCAAAAGCCACTTCACTGTTAAGCCCATGATGATGTGACATCTGCTATGACAGTGGTCATCTGCTGTGCCCCATAGAGGGTGCAGAAGGGGAACCTGCCTTGGAAATCACACTCATCCCACCACGACATTCTTTCATCATGCTATTTCTGGTTTAATGACAATCAGAAAACCTAAGAAGAAACAACTCCTTTCTTCATTTCCACCCTCCCTTCCACACTCCCCAAAGTCCAGTTGTGAATTACATCATACCAAATGGGGGAGATATTCCATTCATGTCATATTCATACTACATGTCTGCCACCATTAGGGGCATCTTTGTACATTAAAAGAGCAGAGTCTGTCTACAAACTCTTTTAAGTCAAAGAAGTGGTTGGTTGGTGGAGACTTAAGAAAACCAAATAGAGACTCTAGCTGGACACCTCCTAGTGCCTTTGCCAAGCATCACTGCCCCAGCCAGTCATTAGGCTTTTCCTTGCTACACTGAGATCAGAGCACAGAGGTAGAAACTTTCCTGGATGCCACATCCCTGGTTTACCTGGCCATTCATTTCAACAGCATCTTTAGCACTGAGCCACACATTTTGCGATACCAGAATGAGGCATGATTTCTGAACTCTCAAGAGAGAATTAAAGTAGGATACAATTAAAGCATGGTAAGCTGTGTTAAAGGGAGAAGAGCAGTAAGAATACTACTGAAAGCAGTGCTCCTTGATGGCTCCATTGTACCTCCCTGGCTTCTCCCAGGGTTTAGCTTGGTGCCTGGCACATGGGAGGGACTTCATAAATGTTTGCAGAGAAGCAGAGGTAGGGAAAGAAAAAGGAGGCAGGGAAAGGAAAAGAGAAATGAGAGGAAAAATACCGAAGTCTATCTCATAGAAGAAAGCATTGTCTGTATTAACCCTTTGGGGTCACAAGTTGTTCTTCCTACAGTGAGTTTTAGTTCGAGCATTTCAAGTACAAGTTTTCAAACTTTAAACCAGAACCCCAGTTTTTTAGTAGGTGGAATGTACAGTGGTGCTCTCAGTAAAGCTTTAAGGAAGATAGCAAAAATCCCATTCTCTGTTATCATCAGTGGAGATGTGTTGCATGCTGTGGACCATTTCACACTGATCCTGTTGGCGTGTGTCTGGTCTCCAGGGGCTGTGGAAATATGGAATCTGTGCCTAGATGAATCAGCATACTCGATTACTTGCAAAACTGATATTTAAATGTAAGCCTTTTCTCCTTTCCAATTTTGGTCACTCAGTATGTGATTTCATATCCAAAAATGAAATCAAGGAGCAGCAAATTATCTGAATGATTTGTGCCAGAATTACCCAAACACTTTTTGTTCCTTTGAATACTGGTGATTCAGGACTACATAATTGAAGGGTTTGGGGAGAACTGAATTATTATTATATTATTCATATAAATGTCTCAGGATAGCATTTTACTTGGTCTAGATTCAACTCTAATCATGCTGGGTTTTGTTCTGCAAGAAGAGTATTCTTTGGGGGGTTTTGAATACAGCACCTCATTTTAAAGCAGAAGTGTTTCCATCAAAGTCTAAATAAACTTTATTATCTTTAGACTACAACCTAAGCCTTCTTTTAAAAACCTTTTAATTTTATTTTTTGTCAAGATGATGTAGATATAATAATACATATAATAATAGCATTATAATAAAAATTTACTGTTCCTTGTGCTCAACTCACCCCATTCTCTATTTCTACCCCTCTGAATTAACCACTTTCCCTTCAGATATTTTCTCTAGTATTATTTTCTAAAACATCCTTATGAATTTTTAATTTCAGATGTTATCCCTATTATAAACTGGCATCCTACCATAGAAAGTAAAAATAATGACAGCACTTAAAATATCCTAGAGAAGAGCTGGGAATATATCTCAATGGCAGAGTGCTTGCTTAGCTAGCATGAGGCCGTGGGTTCAATCTCTAGCACTGCAAAAATAAGACAAAAATAAAATATCCTAGAGAATATTCCAGATGCTTTACATACATATGCTGATTTAATCTTCACAGTGACCCTGTGTGGCAGATACTATTATTATCCAAATTTTACATATTAGAAACAGGCACAGATGATTACGTATCTTGCCTGATACGTAACAATGATTATAAATCGTTGGAACCGGGGTTTGAATTTAATCAGCCTGGCTCCAAAGTCCATATTCTTACCAATGAACCAAATTTGTCTTAGCATCCAACTCTCGTCACCTCCCCACACATTCACTTCCTCTCTTCCGCCATTAGTAAAGTTACATATTGGGGTTAAATCAGTATTCAGCATTTACTATGATTATGGCTACATAAATATTAATCACAAAAGATCCATGTTATATACTATGTTACATATTCTTTCTCATATAATTTTATGTTTTCCCTAGAAATAATTTTGATCCCTTATTTTACAATTCATTTTTTTAATTGATTTTATTATTTTTTTAAATACATGACAACAGTAGAATGCATTACAATCCTTATTACACATATAGAGCACAATTTTTCGTATCTCTGTATATAAAGTATGTTCACATCAATTTATACCATTATACATGTACATTTTTTTGCATTACAATTCTTTTTTTAACGAAAGAGAATTTTTTAATATTTATTTTTAATTTTCGGTGGACACAACATCTTTTTATTTTGTATTTTGTATGTGGTGCTGAGGATTGAACCCAGCGCTGTGCGCATGCCAGGCGAGCGTGCTACCGCTTGAGCCACATCCCCAGCCCGTACAATTCTTAATACACATATATTTCTAAACACTTTGCTTGAGACAAAAGCCGTCTTTCATTTCTTTCAAAAAACTCTGGTGTCTCTCACTGTGTCTGTTTGTGGATCCCTCCTCTGGGTTCCTGCCTGAGTCTGCAGCTGCATTCTGGCACTGCCACACAGCTGTCATCCTGGATCCTCCCAACTGTGTCATCTAGGAATTTGCTTCTACTTCTCTCCTGTGTAGACTCTATTTGCTGCATCTGACTTTTCCTCTTTTTGAGGGGAGAGGTTATTCTTGTGGTCTAGTAAATACACTTTCCCATCTTAAGAAGATGAGTAAATGCTAAATTTCTTGAGAACTTACATATTTGAATATATCTCGATTTACTAGATTAGGCATGTTTGGTTGGGTATAGAATAATTGTATATTATTTTCTCTCAGATTCTTGAACACATTATTTCATTTTCTTTTGCTTCCAATGTGCCTATGGAGAACTTCGATTCCTCTCTGATCACTAATCTCTTGGAGGTTTTTATGGTTTTCTCTTTATCCTCACTATTTTGATTTCTTCTTGCTTTGCTGTGATATGCATCTGCTTTCATTCCTGGGCCATGGGCACACAACAGGTATTTTCCAATCTGGAACCCTATGTGCTTCAACTCTGCAAAATGTCTTATATAATTTCTTTGAAAATTTTCTCTTCTCCATTTGCTCTGTTCTTTCTTTCTGGAAATCCTAGTATTCTAAAATGTGGGATATACCAGATTGATCCTCACATTTTCTAATCTATCTTTATCCATACTTTGGCTTTTTCTAGTTCTAATTTCTAGGACATTTACTGGAATTTCCCTTCCAATTTTTTTTTTAACTTCTGCAGTGATAGTGTTAATTTCCAATAACATTTTATTGGTTTTATCTTGGTTCCTTTTTTATAGCATTATATATACAAATCTTACTTAAATTTTTATAAACAAATACAAGTGTGTATTCTGTCTTCTTTTTTTACAATAGAGGTAGCTTACCATATACAGTTTTGCTTTTTACTTTTTTTCAGGTAAAATGTTGGAGGTCTTTATGTACTAGAGAGAGAGCTTGCCATTCTTTCACATAATTACTAGCATCTTCAGCAGCATGTTTTGTTTCTAATTGCTGCATCTTGAAGTGCAAATCAGTTTATGGGTTCCCCAATGATAGGCCCAGGTTTCTGCTTTTTCTTTTCTGTTAATTCCAAATATCTATTCACCTCATTTCTGAAATATAGATATTTTGTCTCTTATCTTTTTTCTCTCATTTCCCTTATTCATATAGGCTTATGCCTTTTTAAATTTTACTTACTTAAATTTAAGTGTTAGTTTGCAAGAAAGGTAATAAATGTGTGCATTTAATCTATCATGCTTAATTAGAAGTCCCTAGAGCATCTTTTGAAAAATTAAGTTTTTATTTTGACTTTTTTCCTTTTCCTTACTTGCACACTGATAATTCTCTGAAGTTTTATTCAGAGGAATAAATAGAAATAAGAATTATAACTTTCCGATGATGATGATCAAATGCTTATAGAACATTATGAATAAGCTAAGTGGCATATTAGTCTGTTTTGCATTACTATTACAAAATATCGGAAGCTTAGTAACTTTATAAAGAAAACAGGCTTATTTTGGCTCATATTTCTGGACATCTGATTTTGATGGGTCACAAATCTAGTGATGACTTTCTTGCTGGTAGAGTGCCAGGGTGGTGCAGGGCATCACATGGTGGAAATTAGGGAACACAGATATAAATATCCTCTGGTTTTCCTCTTCTTATAAAACTGTCAGCACTGAATCATGGGGGCTCCACCCTAATATCCTTATCTAATCTTAATGACCTCCCCAAATCCCCATTTCTAAGTATCAGAGTTGAATTATTTCCACCCTCTTGATAACTCACAACTGGGATTAAAGTTCAACACATGAACCTGCATACCATATCCAAGCCATAGTAGTAAGCAAGCAAGATTTTGAGGTCGGAAAACCACAATTGGGGCTCTCTGCATCCAAGCATGTTCTCATGTCAGGGAGAACCATTACCAGAAACAGTTTGGTCTTCTCTTATGTAGCAACGCCCAGGAATTTAGTGGTGTGTAGGCTTTCCCACCATAAGGAGGTAGGTTCTCTCTGAAAGCTTTTTAACTCAAATAAAAAATGAATGAACTTATTCAGAGGATAATTCATTTAAAAATCAAGGCTATTCCATGCCTTGAGTTTGTTTTTGTTTTTGTTTTTTAGTTGTATGTGGACACCTCCATACCTTTATTTTATTTATTTATTTTTATGTGGTGCTGAGAATCGAACCCAGTGCCTCATACAAGTGCTCTACCACTGAGCCACAACCCCAGCCTGTACTTGGGGGAGGTATCATGTACTTGGGAGGTATCATGTATAGAGGGGAAAACAGCCTTATCACTCCCTATTTGCCTTATTTTCTCATGGATTTACCTACTTATGGTTTTTCAACATGCTAATTAGTAATCACTTACCCAAATAAAAAGCATTTTTCCTTAAACTAACTGGAAAATAAAATGTGTCACCAGAGATCTTGTTTTAATCAAGTATGAAAATCTCTTGCCTCCATTCAGCCATCAGTACTGTTCTAACTCGCTTGATCTGATAAAAATCCTCTTGACTGTAGGATGCCTGGATTCCAATCAGTGTGATTGAGAAATTACTCTGGAGCCAAATTCAAATGTGCTCAGCAAGTATGTGTTGTGATATGACTCTTGCTTTTATTGTTGAAAGAGTGGTATACATGAAAAGAAAATAATTTGCCTTTTGGAATGAAGTGTTCTTCAATTGTGGTTTGTGTATGGATAATTTTAATTTTTGGTGAACTGTTCAGTGGCATTGTCTTGTAACTGGACCATAGTTTTATCTAATTTTGGCCTGTGGTTTCTTTTCTATTTAGACATAATGACATCAATAGAACAGTGAAGAAATCTTACAGCATAAAGCACATTGCTGAGCCAGAGTCAAAAGAACTCTTTTTGTAAAGCCCTTTTCTATTCTCTCTCACTGATGCCCTTTGGACACCATTGGAAATTACTGGACTATCCTCTGTGGAAACAGAACCACAAGAACAATGCCTCACCAGCCGAAGAACAGAATATCAGGATGCCTTAAATTTATATTAGACTATGTCATATACATTTTTGGGTGATATCTGCATATATATATATATATCTTGTTTTTCACAAGATGCTGTTTAAAAGCATGACTGTTTTTAACATATGTATGTTTTTAATGTTGGATTGGCACCCCGTGCACAGGACATTCACCAAGCCACTGACACTGTCTTGGATTTCAACAGTTGCATGAGTATTCGCTAATGTTGGTTGAACTTCCCTTCTCCCTTAACATGGGCAGTGTTGGCTCTGTTCCTCAATGAGACCAGGTCAGTGGTATTGTTTTCTGTCACGAGTGTTTTTTCTGTCATTTCTACTTTTTGTATAAAGGAAAGAAAAAAAAACAATGTTAACAGCCACCTATAAGCTTGGGGCACCAACTTTCTAATAAATCTGTGATGTTCTGATTTCTAAGGGACTTTGAAAGTATTTTGATTGCTGATATTTGATTTCAAGAACAAACTGCTCGGTTTAACTGTTTTCCCATAGGGGTCAAATAAAACATTCTATATTTCATTAAATACTAAAGGATCCGACAAGTAAAGTAAAGTAAGCCAATCCTTCTGCTTTCCCAGATCTTGGCGCTGACATGGGAAAATACAAATGACAACCAAGGATTTAGTCCCTTCTTGGGTCACTTTTTTCTTTTGCTTCCAACACATTATAAGCCTTGTCTAATCCCTTTAGGAGACAGTGTGGAGCCCCAGTTCATAAGAGGCTTATTGTTGATGCAGCTCTTTCAATCCATGTAAGCAGTAAGTTCCAAAAGGTTTCATCTTATCATGTAAAAATATATTTCTGTTGAAACTTCAAGAGTCTTATTTTCAAAGCATTGGCATGGCCTATAAGAGGTCTGACAAGTTTTAGTTTGAAAGTAGAATGTATTCTTACCAGTAGGAGGGAGCATAGTGTGCTAGCAATGTTAGGTAGTCTCATGTGGACCATTTTGCAACCCAGTATGCAGAGCAGACTGAATCTAGAGGCAATCTTCCCTGTGTGGATCAGCCTGGGGTTGATGAGATGCAGTGAGGTATGAAAGAAGGTTTTAATATTTGAGTGCCTTTGATGTACCAAACACTATTATGTGGTGATGCCACTACTTGCATTTTATAGATTTGAAAATTAAACTTAAGCAAGTTTAAGTCCTGTGTCCGATGTAACACTTCTAGTAAATAGCATAGCTAGGCTTTGGTACAATTTTGCTCATGAGCCCACTTCATTATCCTGTCCGTTCTACACTATGCTATCTCATTAGTGCATTGACTTATACACAGGGGCTAATACACAGGAGTTGGCTCTACTTCCAGAGGACTCTTCAGTCTTGGACTGGGGACAGGGCCTCCTCAAGAAACCTGGAAAAGGGCAAGATTGGCCTACATGCACATCTAGGAGGTAGTTTCCTTCCAATTTAGAGAGCAACATGTCTATGGATTTTAGCCAGCTGGCTCTGTCCTTGTTTGGGCCCTGTAAATTCCTGCTATTAGAGCCTGGTGCCATGTGTACTTCTGCGTTTCTCACAGTCTTGTTCTCAAATAAGAGACCATATCTCAGATTTTGGTCCTTTGGCTTCATCTACCCTCTTTGATTGATCCTCATATTTCATGGTTCTCTCCTGTTGCTTGAAATTCTAATAAGAGAATATGTGGCAAGCCCATAGCATTTCCTGTGGTTTTTGCTTGGTTCAGAGGTGACATGAGTCACATAATGGTGACTTTTAGGACTGGGCCCAGATGGGACCTGCAAAGATAAGGGACTCAAATAGTGCTCACTCTGTCCCCAGGAGGTCCTAGTTTGGTTCTGAAACTGTGTTCTTAGAAGTGAAAGATGAAGGGATCTGGGCACTCTGCAGAGATTGTCTAAGCAAGACAGATGGATCAATTAAACATAACAAAGAAAATTCTAAGAGTTTAAAAGACATTACCTGACAATTCAACTGTTTGATGCCAATAACATATTAGACCCCACAGTATTTTTTTAATATTTATTTTTTAGTTGTAGCTGGACACGATATCTTTATTTATTTAGTTTTATGTGGTGCTGAGGATTGAACCCAGGGCCTTACACATGCTAGGCAAGCACTCTACTGCTGAGCCACAATCCCAGCCCTAGACCCTACAGTATTAAGTAAAGAAGAACAAAGAATAAAATAGGTAAAATATAAAAGTTGAACAGATTCAAATTGGCCAGACTGCAATACAGGGCTTTCTATGTATAATGATGTTGCTAAGACACTAAAAATGCTGGCCATTAAATTACATGTGTACAGTATCTTTACTGTCCAAGTTCCTTATGAAATGGATAAATTGTGGTTACTTGAAATTGATAGAGATGAGGTTTTTCTTACCACAAACTTAGTCTTCTGTAGCATTTTAAAAATGAAAACACAAACTTATTTTTCTATAGGAATTGAAACACATTTACATGTTAAAGAAAAAGAGTGGGATTCCTTTTAGTAAGTAGAGCTTTATGGCTCCTGCCCAACTCCCTCCCATTGGGCTAATAAAATGAGTAAAGCTCTATCTGCATGCCTAATTACATGCAGCAGAGTGGGAAACTCAGTTCCAGTGTTAAAAAAAAAAAATCACAACATCTGTCAGCATCTTTTAAAGATTGGCTTTTTAATGTCTCTAAAGAGATTTGTATTTCCAAAGTTGAACACATCAAATTAAGAATGTTTCTTAGAAAAGATAACAAGACACCAAACCATCACCACTTTGAACAGATTGAATTTCCATTATTTATTCTCATTAAACATTAGTATCAAGATTTTGATCCTAACAAAGTTCTGGATGTGCATCATGGGTTGGGAGTAGGGATGCGACTCTCAAAGGATATCTTCAAGTAAGATTTTGAGAAAATTTTCTCCGAAGTGGATAATCAGAAACAACATGATGATACAGGATAAAGAAAATAACTATAAAAATACTCAATTTCTGTGATACAAAAAAATATTTAATTTCCTCGATACACAATGGGTTTAAGGTGTTTTCTTCCATGCCCAATGTATTCTTGAGACTGAGATCAGTTGATAAAGCTAAGTAAGAATAAGAAATTTATTTCAAGAGTTGGTACCATTTCCACCCCTCTCCCATAAAAATGGAGTTCACCCTCTCTGTCTACTGCTCATAACACTCATTTTTGATGGGCCAAACTTTATGTCCTGTGTTACCTTTATTTCCCTTTTTTCTTTACTGCATAGTTTTACATGACTTTTCCAGCACTTGATTCCCATGTCCTAGTGGGATGAGAAGTTCATTGATCTCAACAGCATCTCAACATCACTTCTCATAGATGGTGGTTAGTAAATACCTGCTAATGAGTTTTTCAACCCATGTATCTATTTTTCTTTTCATTTCTTCCTCAGTTTTCTTTTTCCCCTTTCTCTCCTTTTCTTCCCTTGTGTCTTTCTCCCACTTCCATTCTCTTCCTACGTTCTCCCCTCCCTTACATTCTTCCCTCCCTTCTTTTATTTCCCTCACTCTTCTCTACCCTCTGTTCATAAAATCTCAAAACCTCACATACAGGATCTTCCTTGAAAGAATACTGGCAAAGGAATTACAGGAAGTAGAATCATGCCAGACCCAGGTATTTTACAAAAACAAAGTGAGTTGCCACTCCCTCCTGACCGTGCATGTAAGTAGAAGAAGCATCTTTCTGTATGCTGATGAATTCAGCAAATGGTGATTGAGCCAATACCAGGCACTTTGCTGGGTACTCCTCTTGATTATCAACATGCCCAGATGTCCTGGAAACTAGGAATGGCCTTGTGACCCAATCTGGGGTCAATAAAAGATAAGTAAAATTCCTAGAGGGGGTTCAAGAAATATTGTACAGTAAGAAGTTTACCTGACACTAATATTTTGTGCCTTGTACATCACTCTTCTTTCTCTCTGGTGTAGAACACAGACTGTTTAGTCTTGAGGATAAAAATCTCATGCCAAGAAGTAGAAAATAGGAAGGAATCTGTTTCTTGAGCACCTGTACAAGCTCTGAACTGTACCCTATATTATTTGTTGAGTAAAAATAAACTCTCTTAATGGATTAAATCACTGATATCTGACTTGGCATAGGACTAGCCAAATATAAAACCTAGTGTTCATACTCAGTTGACAGAGTATACATGCATGTCGTTGAAATAAAGCAGCATTGCACGTCACTGTATTCTATTTACTGCCAAGTCTGGGGGACATTTGGTTGTGCTCTATGATTAAAATATGTTTTGCTGGTTAGATGAACAGTGCATACAAAATCCTATACAACCATGTGAAACCACCTTCTGAAACAAAAGATATGTTCCCCAAGTGCTGACAGTACTGAAAGCCCAAAGCCCTCATGTGTTAACCTTCTCTAAGAATCACCCTTGGCTGAAGAGAACACACCCTTCCCCAAGAGCATACCCCTTCCTCAGGCAACCTGTATGCAATGACTGGTCAGTATGGAAATACACAGGTCCAGCCCTTCACCCAACTCTGGACAACTCCAAAGAGCCATCTCAACTTAATAACTAATCATGGGTTTGGCCCAGCTTCTTCCTCTGCCTAATCCCATTTCCTTACCTTTTCCCTCTTTTCCTTTCATAAATGTTGATCCCAAGAGCCACTGCAATATAATTCCTGCACACTAATCTGGATGTCATAATCTATTTACCAGGAAATTCCATCTGTGACAGAATTTTAGCATGCTCAAGTATTGAAGAAGTCCCAGAGTAGGACAGAAACTTGTTTAGTTGTGTTTTGTGCTTAAAGTGATGTGTATATCAGAGGACTCGTCTTTAAAAAACACCTCACACATCCCTCAAAGTGGTTTATCTCTTAATATTTTGAGGACATACTGTAATCGATTTCAGATCATTATATCTATGTGGAATTTAGACCATTCTCCCATTAGGAAGGTCCAGGGTCAAGCCAAAATATGTGCATTAGGGAAGAACTATTTAGACAAATTTCAAAGAAATGCAGTTAAAGTTATATTCTATTTGAGTATAATTTCATTTGTTTGGTAACAATGTTAAATTGAAAATATAGTAGCCTGTGTCATAAGTATTAAAATGTGCCATTCCCAGGATCCTTCCATACACTCTGGGCCCAGATGTAATCCATCGACTTCATTTTGTTGCTGATGGGTGAACTATACCCCATGTCTTTGCAGAAATATCATCTCTGCTCTATGGCATTTATCAAAAATCAAATTAGGAAATAGCCATATAGAAAAAAAAGTTTCCATTTTTTTTTTATAAAACTGTTATTGAAACCATCAGATGTTTAAAAAGTCAATGGTTCTATAAGGGGCCATAAAATAAATTCCTCTTAGAGTTAGTGCTAGGGGAAAATATGCCTCTAGATAAACTGGCATGTTTCTTTTTATTAGCTAATAAGAACCTTATATA